CAAAATCTGCTTAAGAAATTTTACATAAATAAATGCAATTAGAAAATGACTTATTTTTTGATGCACCAATTGAAATTTTTTGGCCAATCAGGCTCTTTAAAAATCCTTACCTGCCAAGTCTGACTTCAGTAAATTATTTTTTTGTCTGAAAAGTTGCTAAATATAGTGAGAATGTTGCTAAGTTTGATATAGTGGGGTGACTATTCCATTAGATTGTATATAATATCGATCTAGCTTTGGAGGGAAAGCATTCTACATGTTATTTTCAAACTAAAAGTATCTATAAACTGAGCTTTTACAGTTTTTGTCAAAACGTTGAGCTGCAGAGTTACCAGTTTGACCAGTTGCCTTTGTTAGTTTATCACAACGCCCCACAGGAGTGTGAGAAAAATATTATACAGGAATGTCTGCAGAATATGACAAAAAAAAAAAAAAAAAAAAGATCCCCAAACCAAATAGGTGAGCATAATTTTTTTTTTTAAATCCTCCCCCTCAACAAATATCAGATTGCGACAAAATAGCAAAGTGAACTTTTACTTATTATTATTATTATTAAAGTAATAATAAGGGTAAGTGCCAGCCGAAATGTTTTTTGTCCAAACCTGAAGCTAATTACAAGCCTGCTAATGCCATCCGGCACATGAAAGGAGTCCGTGCCTTTTCATAGTTATTATTATAATGCACATTGCCATGGTAACACAGGGCAAGCCAGGACACACCTAATGCATTGGAGTGAATTATTTATCTAATTTATCTAAACTGAATCTAATGTAATTTTCCTCACTAACAGATGCAAGAACCGCATTGTGATTGATTTTAGAAATAAAATATTGGGACTTTCAGGAAGGAAATTATTAAAACTCACTGTTAGTTCGGGTGTTTTCGAACAGCGTTGTCATCTTTTAGAACTGAATCTCATTAATTTTCTGCTACACAACCATTTCTTGATTAAATATTTTGTTCACGTCTTGCCATGTAAAAATGTAGCTGCTCCTCACCAAGGTCAAAGCACAGAATAAGCTTTATAAATGTGTATTTAGTTTTACTTTTTTTTTTTTTTTAACCCTGAGCTCCAATAGTGATCTGCTGAGATGACATCAGATGGTGTTTTAAACGAGTGCAGCCAGAAACGGTGTTCGCTGCAACGTTATATTGGAAGTTTTAATCATTGCTGAAGACACAAAGTATTCACTAAAGTATTCACATCGCTATTATGTGGAAGGATGAAAAGTGTGATTTTTTTTTTTTTTTTTGTGCTTTCTCAGAGAAAATGTGTGAGATTTAACCAATTTAACAGTCTGAAAATTCAAGGCCTGGTAATAGTTTTACAGCACACCACACATCACTTTTTGTCTCGTTTGTTTTTGACTTTGTTCCTGTTTTGCAGGGCTCGTTGAGTCACTACCTGAACGTCCAAACCAACGACTGGGTCAACAGCTGCCGGTTAGCTCATTCTGTCACTCGAGGCCTGGCGTACCTGCACACTGAGCTCTTTAAAGGAGGTAAACTCACAATGCAAATATAAATTGAACATTATTTGTAGTATATGTAGAGCTTGAGCCATTGTCGGTGGTAAAAGTTTGCCAAGCGCTCTTTTATTTCTTAAGATTTTACTTGCTGTGGACATATTAAAGTGTTATCTGATCGTTACTCGGTAGCGAGATAGTAAAAATATAACGTTGAACATGGAACCAAAAATGCAGAAGCTATGTCATGACTCAGTAGCTTTTAGAAGCAATACCTTGAAGCAAGCACCTTGTGTTTGATCTTATTAGTCACTTAAATATTTGAGGAATGTTGAATCACTCTTGTTTTGTAACATGTCTTCTGTTCATCGAGCTTTTCAGTCACTAATAATGCAAAAAAAACTGAAACATTTCCTCATTCTTTGCAAAACTGCTCCGATTGGATTGAGAGTGCGTGTAAACATTAGTTTTAAATTAGACTCATCCTAACTCACGAGTTTTATTTGATTAGAAACTATTAAATTGTGGCTCTATCTGAATGTTTGGAAGGTGGCCCTCTGCCTTGGGCTTATTGGATTAAATCTCAGCACAGTAGATGCTCGCCACATAGACCTTTAACATCGTGTCACAGATTAAATAAGACAAACGAGTAAAATTTTGATTTATTTTTACGTTCAAAAGTAACTAGCATATTGCATAATTTCCTAACCTCATTTAGCTCAGGTCTTTTGCAGCCTCTAACAGGCTCTGTTTGCTTTCCTTTGTGTTTGTTTGTTAAAATCCCAATGAAAAACTTGAAGTTTATGATTTTTAAAGTTGCAAAGTAAGAATAACTTCTACTTTCACGGTGCTGAGCCCCAACAGAGGTCATCCTCTCTTTGACCACGGCTGTACGTGCTGCATACCGCGGCTCCACATGGCTCTGTTTATCCTGTAAAATTCGCATACTTGTATTTTGACAAACGCACTGTGAGCACGCCCAGTCGAGGGGTATTTATAGACTCGCCTCAAGCTTCCCGTGAGCAAAGAGCATGAGGAAAGGGACACAGTATAGACACAACCTAGAGAGTGTGAAGAATATTCTCCCAGGAGGCCGATTGGATGACCAAACGAGTCTATTTTTTTCTCTTTCCCTCTTCAGCATGTCACAAAATCTCAGTCTCAGCAGCTGCGTCGAGCTCTTGTCTCTTCATCGGCACAGATACACATCAAACGGGCTCAGAAGTTGACAAGGGATGAAAGTGCACTGATAGCCTGCTTGTGCAGATGGCTAACTAATAAAAAGAGGCTGAGTGTTGGGCACACACGGGGAGAGAAGGGAGGAAGCTGATGGGCAGATAAGGGCGAGAGGAGCTGCTAACAGCTGAATCTCTCAGGCTTTGGAACATTTGTCATCCTCCCCCACCAGGAAACACATAGCTGCTGTGGCTGCTTCACTGCGCCCTCTGCTGGGCAGGAAAAATCAGCAGTAAATGTTGACAGTCAAGGTTACTCCAGGAAGTAATAAAACATGTAAGATTTTAAATGGAAAAAAATAAACGATTCCCTTGTCTCTTCTCGCCGCAGATTTGTACAAGCCAGCCGTTTCCCACAGGGACCTGAACAGCAGGAACGTCCTGGTCAAGGCCGACGGCACGTGTGTCATCATCGATTTCGGCCTGTCCATGAAGCTGACGGGGAACAGGCCGGCGCGCCACGGAGAGGAGGAGAACGCCGCTATAAGCGAGGTGAGCATTAGGGAGAAGGAAGAGTTGCGCGGTAGGAGTTGCGCTTTGACATGTTTCTGTTTGAAAATGTATCTCGGTTGTTTTTCTTGGGCAGATGATGCAGCGTGAGTCATGTCTGAGCTGCCATTTTGGTCTAACAACTGTCAGCAAATAGAAAGAGAGCTGCCAAGTGGCAACCGTCTTATTATAGTGAGATAATTTGGAAAAATATGGGAAGGTTTTAGAAAGTTCTGCTACAAAACCCTACTTCACTTTTCAATTATTTTCAGCGTCATTGAAAAGTAAATTTAATTGAAAAAGTTCAACTTGTATAGCTTGATTACATAGTGTGATATATTTCAAGCGTTTCTTGCTCTTAATTTAGATCGCTATGGGCTATAGCCAATAAAATCTTAGCGTGCAATTTCTGAGACAATTATAATATTGCAGTAGAGGAAGTGGGTGCATAAGTTCTTTGCAAAACCCTGACAATCAGATTTAGGTCTGTACTTTGACTAGGCTGCTCTGACACATGTTATCTTTGAATATTCCAACACCCTGAGTTGTTTTCAGAGCATTCTGGGAAACCGAGGTTCTTTAAACAATAAAAAATAAAAAAATACATATTTTTGAATAATCAGTGGCTTTTGATGTTCAATTAATTGTTTTTTTGTTTGTTTGTTTGTTGTTGTTTTTTTGCTTAATTTGGAAGTTAGCTGTAAATATTCACAAAAATAATTTTAAAAAATTGTGAATTAAAATATTCTGCTATGCAAGCATGCTCTTATTTTGAAATGTCTGGGCATGCCTTTGTCACGGCACTGTATTAAAATAAATCAGCATTTTTCTGGTTATTGACGTCAGTAATGGTGATTTTTGTATACAAAATAATAATAATAAAAAATATTTGTTTTACTGTAACATCTTTTATTGTCTTCAGGCTCTTCAAGACAGCTCATGGTTTTTTCAAGTCTAGTATATGCTGTACATTGTTTTCCTTACTGAATGAATAATTGTTAAATCATTGGGATTTGAATAAAGACTAAAACTGTTATAATATTTTCCAGGATTGAGTAGCTTTAGCAGTAGATGGCATTCACTGACTGAGCCAATCAGTTAACTCACTACTGAGCAAATGAAAGTTATTCACTGGGAGTTTGAAAAGATTTTTGTCCATCTGAATAAAATCTTGTCTTTGGAAGCTGGTGCAACAAGATTTAAAATTATTATTTAAAATCAAGATTTTTACATTAGCAGATGTCTATATGTGGATAGTATTGCTATATTTCCCACTCTCGCTTTAATTCTTCAGACTCCATTCTTGTTCTTTTTGATGTCGATAAGATTTCTTCATCTGCTCAACTCCTAACTATCAGAATCATAAAACTCCAGTTGTGTTGAAGATTTTACGCAGTTTGAAGTGCATATTTGACATATCCTCCTCCTGGGTGTGCCACCGTTGCTTCAAGCAGTTCCATTTCCTGTTTACTTTTCAACTTCTGTTGCTGCTCAGTCTCCAGTGGTCAGAGCTTGGATAAGGCATTCAGGTTTGTTAAGAAGCCAAATAACCTAAAACAGTCACTTCCTTCCAATTCTGTATACACTGAGCATTTAGGTTTGCTTGAACTCTATCATCTGATATTTTATTTCCATTATTGTAAAGGAAAATGTTACATTTTTTTGGGAAATGTCCTGATTACCCTTCCCGGATTCATGTACAGCAACAGTTGCATGTCTATCCACCAAGGCACTGCGTAAATACACATCTGTGCCCTCCAGAGCAGCAAAGCACCAGAATTTTGATCAGTTAATAAAGTTTGTCACTTACTTGTTCCTCCATTGCCAGGTGGGGACAATCCGCTACATGGCTCCAGAAGTGCTGGAAGGTGCTGTGAATCTGAGGGACTGTGAATCGGCGCTGAAGCAGGTGGATATGTACGCTCTGGGCCTGGTTTACTGGGAGATCTTCATGCGATGTACCGACCTTTTCCCTGGTGAGACGCAACCAGACAGATTAATATTTTGAAACAACATTGTAGAAAAGAGGTTATTGTAATGAATACAAGCTTCATTAGTGTTTTTTTTTCCCTTCAATGTCCTTGCCTGCCTTTAGGAGAGTCGGTGCCAGAGTACCAGATGGCCTTTCAGGCAGAGGCAGGAAACCACCCCACGTTTGAGGACATGCAGGTCCTGGTATCCAGGGAGAAGCAACGGCCCAAATTCCCAGAGGCTTGGAAGGAGAACAGCTTGGTGTGTATAGACCTGGGACATATTTGTTAATGTATCTTTTTTTAACCGTTCTACATTTTCTCACAGTATAATCACAATCACCAATGAACTTTGTTGTTAATGGTGTGACTCACTAACCTAAATGTGTGCGTTTCAGGCGGTTCGCTCTCTGAAAGAGACAATGGAGGACTGCTGGGACCAGGATGCAGAGGCCCGTCTCACAGCACAGTGCGCCGAGGAACGCCTCGCAGAGCTGCTCCTCATATGGGACCGCTCCAAGTCTGTCAGTCCAACCCTCAATCCCATGTCCACCACACTGCACAATGAAAGGTTTGTTAAACTCTGAGTCATCTCTGTTAGTGTGGGGCAGGTGCTTCCAGTCGTTCTTCAACTGTTCCGTCTTTGTTTTTCAACAGAAACCGCATGACCCCCAAGTCGGGCCCTTACACAGACCACCCCTCCACCTACATCGAAGAGAACGAGGGCGTAGCTAAGAACCAACAGGTGGACACCACCGGTTCCTTAACAGGCAGGGTGGGAGTGGGAACTGGAGAGAGAAACAGGAATTCCATTAACCAGGAACGCCAGCAGCAAGCCAACGCCCGCTTGCCCAGCCCAGAGGGCAGCAGCACCAGCATGGGACTAAGAGGCAGTCCATCCGCCTCTACTACCACCACCACCATCATCTCTGAATCTGAAGGGCCCACAGGGGCCAGCACAGTCCCTGTTTGCCTACACCTGACCCAGGAGGATTTGGAAACAACAAAGCTGGATCCTAAAGAGGTGGACAAGAACCTAAAGGAGAGCTCTGATGAGAATTTAATGGAGCACTCACAGAAACAGTTCTGCTCACCTGACCCACTGAGCCCTGGAAGTTCCAGCTTACTCTACCCCCTTATCAAGATGGCCAGTGAGGCCTCGGGAACATCAGACCCCGCTGCAGCAATGCCCACAGCCATCTTTCCCCTGCCTAAGCAGCAGAATCTGCCAAAGAGGCCGTCCAGTCTGCCCCTGAGAAACAAGCCAGCCAAGAAGGAGTCCTCATCCTCCTCGCTCAGGTTTAAGTTTGGACGTTCGGGGAAGTCCAACCTGCGGCAGGTAGAGGGAACAAAGATGAACATTGGTGTGGCGACGGGCCCTAATGTTCTGGAGGCACAGCCGGGATCAGGCACTAACAACATCCCTGTTATACGGGACACACACGTCAACGGGGCCGTTAACGGTCACGCAGGCGTAGTGTCTGGCGGGGCCGGTGGAGTACAGAACGGCTCTGTACCTCTGAGGACGGACGACAGCCGTCTCAGCCTGGGCCTGATCACGGCCAGCCCCGACGAACACGAGCCACTCCTGAGCCAAGAGCGAGAGCAGCCTGACGCCAGAGCTGTGCCCTCGGGCGCGGCAGCCATGCGCTCAGCCCGGCCCAACACTAACAACAACAACAGCAACACTGGGCTTGGCCAGGGGGATGGCAATAGTGGTGGGGAGAGTGACGGAGGGGAGGAAGAGTGCAGCGCCGAGGGGACGAGCAGAGAGACCATGGGGGAGAGCTCTGGGTCGGGTTCGGCTTTGGCAGACCCCCCGAGGGAAGCTACAGTCACCATGAGGGGAGAGGCGCTGCTCAGGCAGCCTAGAGCTCGCAGACCAGAGAGACCCAACTCCCTGGACTTGTCCTTCACCACACAGGACCTTACCTCTTTAGGTACTAACAGCCCGGCACAGCAGCATGTCACATTATATAGTGCTTGATGCACCAAAAAGTCAAACAGTCAACAGACAGTCATGTGGTTTTGGTATGCATGTTCATGTTCACACACCTTTTGTACAATGGTGCAGTCCACCTGGGGACACCCCTCCTATTTAAGTGTATGTCACAACACACCTACCTGCAGGAGATTCCCTGGCTCTACTTGCATCTTCTGTTTTGCTTTTACAAAACAGTCACACTTTTCTGCAGACAGCTTCCTGAATAATTACATTCCTGTTTGCATTCAGGAGTTATTAACCATTGACCAGTCCTGTTATTACACTTGATATTTAATATTGAGTATCACATAAATGTACATACTTCCTTACTGCGTCAAATAAGCATTCCTCAAAAATATTTATGTGTACTGCAAGATACAAAAACTAAAAATGGTGGAAGCAGACTTGTTAAAGCATATCAACATTGCTGTCTACACATAATTCTGCAGAAAACACGGCAACAAACTTCTGACCAATCACGACACTCCGCACAGACCTTTGTCGAATTAATTCCATCAGGAGTATACAACAATGAGAGCCAATTTCAGCACTTCCGTCGACTTACATACTTAATCTGAAATACCAAAATTGGCTTGGAAGTGTCAGAAGTTTGTTGACATGTCTTATGTAAAAATGCTCTAAGAGGGAGGGGTGCCCCCCAGATGGTCTGTGCTGTTGTCTGGAAGGTGTGTGAATACGAAGGCTCCACAACCATATGACTACGTGTCAACTGTTGGACTGTGGATGATGTGGGAGGCTGCACACTGATCAGTATTTCTCTTTTACCTGCAGGGGAGGGCTTGGTGAGACCCGACGGGGCCTTAGGGACAGGTGAAAAAATCAAGAAGCGTGTTAAGACGCCATACTCTCTTAAAAAGTGGCGACCCACCACATGGGTGATCTCCACAGACACCCGGGGTCCGGAGGTCAACAACAACGGGTCCACCCGAGGGCAGGGCCACACCCAGAACGGGCCCAAATCCACTTCAGCCATCTACCTGCAAGGTGGAAGCTTGGCCAGCGAGCCCAGTGACACACAAGTGTGAATTCAGAGCTTCTACCTGGACTGAGATAAACACAAAGGATTTAAAAGAAACAAAAAAACGCGCTGCTCTGCTCTGAATCAGCAGGAAGGACGCTGCGGAGTGTGTTGCGATCAGTCGAACCTGATCTTGTACATTAATTAGGTCTGTCTCGCTCCCTCGTGTCTTTCCGACGGCATCGCTTTAAATGGAATCCAGCTATGCAGCGTTCTTGTTCATCTCCATCTCCTTTCGTTGCTTTCTTTGGGTTTTCTCTCCCCTCCTGCCCCTTCATAAGCATAGCAATTAATCAAATGGGTTTATTTTTACTCCCCACGTGCACTTTCAACCAACTAAAAATCAGTGTTCCTAACCCGCGTCTGTCGCGACCGCCGGATAAAGTGGTCTCTAAACTTAAATAGGCGATGACAAACAATCACCACTCTTACTTTGCTGTACGAAGCACGTTTAATGTAAGCTCTGTAAAAAGATGAAAAGATTTGATGTCTTAAAGACGGAACAAGCTACTTTTTATTATTATTATTTCTGTATGCAATACCATTTGTCTTTTAACCATGTATCTGTTTTTGTACTATTCTTTTTAACTGTGCAATAGGATATAGTTTTTAGATGCTTTTGACGTTTTTACGGCTTCCTTTTTTTTATCTCATTAATATTTTTGATACATTAATCTTCGTTGCACTTATGAATTGTCACAATCGTTGTTTTGCTTTACTTTAACAATCCATGAGCGATCTCCGTCCCCATGAGCTCAAGAGGAGAAAATGGATGACAATCTTCTCCTCTTTTTTTTTTTTTTCCTTTCTCCTCCTCTTTAACGGAGGGGGACACAAACAACAACAATCAACCCGAGCCGACTGGAGGACGTGGGTTCTGTCACACTGCTGTTCTTAACACTACAATCACCCGAATCAACCCTGCGGAGCGACTTGTTACATCACCTGACCTCACTGTGGACTGACTGAAACACTACAAAGCCCAGATTCTGCTGTTTTCCGTTTGAAACCAGATACTGAAAAAAAGAAAAAAAACGTAGAAGCACGCTGGATATTATTTCTGCTTCTAGTTCTCATCCCTTGTTTCAATGACTGATTCACTGTGCGGGTGTGTTCCGAGTGTGTGCGTGTGTTTGTGTGTGTGTGTGTGTGTGTGTGTGTGTGTGCACGTGCTGTAGATCTTTGTCAGCAAGCATCATATGTAGAGCCGTCACGGCCTGTACAGGCGTGCTTAAACGTCGTCATACTTATTCTATATTGTCAGCACTGCTTGAGGGCATATGACAAGATCTCATTTATGTTTTTGTAATCTGTAATTTGTATTAAAAAAAATGAAGTTCCGTGTATTGCATTAATATTTGCTTTATTTTTTATGGAATTCTGTTGTGCATTCAATGGACACACAACCTATGATCCCATTGCTATGCATCTGCTCGGTACAGTTTCTGTAAACACTTTCAAGTCATGGAAGAAAATCTCAATAAATGTATGAAATAACACTTGGCTTTATACAATATGGACTTTTTCCGTGTGGCAAACAGAAAACAGGCAGATAGTCTTAAAAATGAACAAGAAAAGTATAGAATAGTGCTCAAAGCTGCTGCATTGACAGTCACTCAAGGAAGGTAAACTGCAAAGTGTCACTGCTGAAGAAGCTGGATGTTCAGAGTGCTGTAACAATGCATATTAATGGGAAGTGAAGTGGAAAGAAAACATAATTCAAAGCATATATACCGTATGAAATCAGTAATTAACCCAATCATTTCAGTAATTAACCAGTAATTAACCCAATCATTTCAGACTATTAATGAATGTAGAAAACTGGATTAAAGTTTCTGTTTATTGTTTTTATATACATGCAATATGCCTGCATTTGCAGCTATTTCTACAACACTTTCCTTTCACTTAACTTTCCAATAATATGCTTAAATACAGCACTCAGAGTACAGAAGTCATATTTGAGTTCTTTTCTCATTGTATCGTCAAATCCTGAACCTCGTTCCATCTCAAACTCGGCTTAGATTTACCAAGAAGAGCCACAGTGGAGGGCCGAACGTGGTAATTGCAGATCAGAATGGAATTCTCTAAATTATTATTTTTTTATTGCAAAAAAAAGAGCATACAAGAACAACATAGAACACAACTCTTAATAGAATATTTCTTAACATTTTGTTGGTTGTTTTCTTACTTTTAAAGGACAATCAGAATCAACATAAATGGAATTTGGATCCAAATTTGGCATTGAGTGAATTTGGCGTGGAGGTAAAGATGATAAAACCTTTAATGACCCACTGGGGATTGTCAAACACAATATTACCCCTGATATTCTGTAGGGGTGACAATTTCGAATGATTGGAAACATTTTCTATTACGCCATTTTGTTTTGACATTTGTTTTGCAGTTATAATTCGACTTCCCCTCCTCATTTTATTGGAAGCTAACTTTCTAGCATAAAAAGTTTTTGTATGTTACTCTTGTTTATATAAATATACTTTTTGGTCGAACTTTGTAATTATTAAAATACTTCATGAAGCACTGTAGACTTAATTTCAACTCTCCAACACCGAGACACCATTATAAGAACACAGTGGAGTCAAGGAACACTTACGTTTCTTTTTCACTTTTCTTCCTCTTTAAAAATGAAGCAACCGCGTTTACATTTATTTTCAGGTTTTTTTCCATCGACAACGCTCCTCGGTTTCCAGAAGACAGACTCTAGAGGGAGACATTTCCCACCGAGAAGTTGTTTTTCTCGCCGTCTGCTCCTCGCGCCCCTAGCAACTGCAGCATCAGCGCGAGAGGCGCAGTGCTGGAGCGCTACGTCACTGCTCCTCTCTGGCTGCGTCAAGTCGCAAGGAAAACTACCGGAAATGCGCCGACGTGGCCTTACAAGTATAAAGGCCGCTGTTGAATCCTTATTAGTTTCGAAATGTGCAGTCAAAGATTTAGTTCACAAAGACAGGGGATTATTACTGTTATATGCCAGAAACAGATAGTTGTTTTACTTTGTGAAAAAAAAAGAATTAAATTCTAACCTTCTTAAGAAAATCGCATGCAACAGTTGTTGACTTTTTTTTAAAATCTAATACACAGGGAAGTAATATGACATCAACTTATTTGAATATATATATATATATAATATATATATATATATATATAATATAATATATATATATATATATAGAGAGAGAGAGAGAGAGAGAGAGAGAGAGAGAGAGAGAGAGAAATCCTTTAACATTGAAGCACCTGTATGAGTTTCATGAACAGCGTCCCATCAGGAGAGGTGCAATTTAAAACAATAGAAGTGGAAACTTATTGTTTAATTTCTTATTAACAAGCAAGCAATAATTTTTTTCCTACTCCACAACAGAGGAGATGAAATGCACACTGACCCAGCAACACGGTTACTGTCCAGTAGCATGCAGGTCTTTAGAGGTAGTATTAGTTTTGTATAAGTAACTCTCAAACTCCAGGGAAGTGTGTGTCGGCTTCTGTTCAGAACGGCGCCTCGCCTTTTATTTTGAAACAAATCAGCGGAAGTTGAATTGTTTCCTCGCGTCAGCTTCACACTGGTACTTTCCCCCGTCGTGTTAACCAGGCTCGCCCAGCATCACCGCCTTCTTCTTTCTATTTCCTCTTGTCTTTTCTCTTCCTCTATTATTGTTTTCCTCCCTTTTTGTTTTCTTTTTTTTTCGTTTTATCAGCATCACCCGAACTCTGTAAGCAGCCACTTCTCTTTCCGGTAATTGCAATTTTTATTTTTATTTTTCCATCGACCAGATGGTCCGCCGGTAGTCAACCGTGGTGTCGCATCATCCTACCAGGAAAGGGGGTAAAAGAAAAAAAAAAACATCCACGACGACTGGGAGGCAGTGTCACACCAACCCCATCCGTACCGACGCCTTTCTGGTTGTGATTTTTACCCACGCAGCCAGTGCTTTGACCTTTTCCATGTCTGCCTGTTTCTGTGTGGAAGGATCCCGCAGCTCGCTCAGCCTTTTTCCTCCGCCTCTCTAGCATCTTCAGGAGGCGGCAAACAGGGGCTGGGCTGCTCCATGCTCTGCTGCATTGGTTTCCTGCAGGTCAGTGTGTCATTGCTGAATTTATTTGAAACGATCACTACTGTTGTCTGCATGCAGCTCTTGCATTGCTGTAACATTGACTTGAGAGAGGCAGCGTTTGCAGAGCGTGCGTGCTGCTCTGGCGTTGATGCGTGGTGGGGATGCGGTGCGTGCTTCTCTCCATGTAAACAAAAGCGGCCTGCATTGCACTCTGCACAATTTATTCATAATGCATTTTCTTAATATTCTAAGCAAAAGAAAGAGCTGGAATAAAATGAATGATTTATAAATGACATAAACAGCTTGGGTGAAAATGTGTTTCATCATATTAAGAAATATATATGTAAACAAATAATGAATATGATTAGTTTGATTTAAAAGTTAAAAGCAACAATTATTCTGACCGCTGTTAAAATAATATAAAATATAAAAATGACACAAATGAAAGCCAACTGGTCACAAAGGAGCATGTTAAACACTCTATTTAGTATTTTCAAGTGGACAGAATGATTACGGAGTTGCTATCTTTAGTTCCTGAACCTCACTTCATATAGCCAGCACTATTTACTGTAAACAGTCTTTTTAATTGTCCTCTGGAGAATGTAGGTGTTTATCGTAATTTCTAAAAGGCTTTACCAAATCCAAGGTGTTCAATAAAAAAAGGCTAAAAGTACACAAAAAAAATAAAAGTTTAGCCTTCCTGTTATCTTCTCAGGGCTTCGCTCTCTCTCACGGTAAATAAGCTACAGGGATGTCCTAGAAAGTGCGTTTTTTTTTAACATCCTTGATGATGTCCTCTAACTTACTTCAAACATATCACAGACACTAAAAAATTGCAAACCTTTGAGTTTCCTTCCCTCAGTAAGTGCTTTCCACAATGAAGAGTGTTGCTCAATAGCACCTTGGTATGGTGCATTTCACAAAATCTCTGCAATTTTGGAGCGTGTGGTTGAAAATCCTCCAATTTCAGTTATATTATTCTTATTGTACTTTACTCTGAATAATATAAACGAACATGTTACTTTCAGCTGTTCCACTTTTATACTATCTCAGTTTTCTTTTCAATTAGCTGGAGACTTTGCAGCATTTCTCTCTTTAAACAAGGTCAAAATTGATGTATAAATCGGCACAAAGGGCAGCGCTAAGGCAGCAGAACGAGACTCTTTACTACAGCTACCAGCAGCAGTGCTACTGAAGAAACAAGAAAAGGCTGAAGTGTCGATGAGCTGATGCCTGAACTCCCTATTCAGCTACAAAACACACACACAGACGCTCCTGCTGCTGTGTTCATAAAGATCACCAAACCCCCCCCCCCCCCCACCCCACCCCACCCAGCCAGGTTCCCTAGCAACAGCGATGTGTTGCTGGTCAAGGCTCCTTCCAAATTTAGCTCTGGGATCTGCACAGTCAAGCAAAGCTGTTTGGACATGTGAATAAATGGTGCATGTGTTCTGATTAAAAGTCTTCAAAATAAGAAAAGCAGCAGAAGAACATAATATTGCGATTGTTTGTTTCTTTCTGTATCGTCAGGTTTGCATAATGAACCTTTATATATAGGTCAATAATGCATCAATGCAACAAAACAGTAGCTCCCATCTGGGTCAGTTAGCCAAAACCTGCATGTCCTCCAATGCCCCTACCCCATCCGCCTGTGTCTAAAGCTGTTTTAATGCCATTACCCTGGGGGGGTATATCCGCTCTGCCCGGCATGGTTTGGATTAAACCTAGACATACCAACGTGTAACGTTCACAGGCTTATCCATCAGGACAGCTGTGTGTCTGATGATTTGTTTACCGTTTGCAGACATTGTTTGCATTCTCTGGCCTCCTGACTCGTCTTTCTCCTTTTCCCCCCTCAGACCGTGGCCTTAACCACCTGCGCCTCCCCGCGGTTCTCCGCCGGTGTCGGCCTCCGCGCCCTCTGAGCTCGTTCGTTCCTCTGCCTCCATTCTCCTCGCCGTCCCCCGCCATCGCGTCCAGCTGTGGCCCTCACAGGGCGCGCTCGCTGGCTCTCACCTGACAGGTCCCTGGCCTCAGGACGACAGCCAGCAACAGCACGTTCCCTACATGAGGGACAAAGCGACGCAGGTGAGCGTTTGTTCCATGCTTGTGCTCATTACAATGTCAGGTTCTTTTTCTTTTCTTCCTGAGCTACTTCAAAACATTATAAATGCATATTTGACGTCTCAACCACAAACTTCAGTGTTTTATTATGACAGCCTTCGAACAAACACTCCTGATCAAAGAGATCTTTCTGCCACGGCACATCAATACACCGCAAAGGACGAACAGCAACATGCTTTTCTTTCTTTTGAATTCTAACCGTTGAAAATACTAATAAAGTATGTTGCTATATGAGGGAAAAACACGATGTTTGCATTCGCCTCAGACCCCCAGGGCCTGGGCAGATGAGAGGAGGAGGGGCTCTCACAAACGCTCGGCCTCCTGTGGGAGCACCGACCAACTGAAGGAGGTCTGCGTCCCACTTTCTCTTGGTCTTGCCTTGCACATTGGCACTGCTACCAGATCTACGGGGACGTTCCAGCAACATTAATGCTGTTGTTTTCTTCCCCAGATTGCCAAATTGCGCCAGCAGCTTCAGCGGAGCAAGCGCAGCAGCCGCCATCGGAGGGACAAGGACCGCAAATCCCCGTTCAATGGCAGCCATGCCATCATTCAGTCACAGGTGATCATTCCCTGATCCTATATGCAATCATAAGTTTAAAAAAAATCAGTAATACTGTAATTTAATGTAATTGCATTTCGTGATCAAACTAAAATAGCTTGATCAGCAGCTTGTTCTTTCCGATTATTGATGTTTAAAAAGCCCAACCGGCCAATACTGATTCTTTTTGACTGAAAAGTTCCTAAATATGACAATCAGGTTGGCAGCAACTGTAGAAGGTCAGAATTGCTGAAGGAACTTTTGATGCATTCTCGTCTGAACATATTTTTTCACTACAAAAGCAGATCCTTACCTGAAAAGATTGCTCTGGTAAAACCACCTGCCATTTTAAACAGACTTAGACGTAGTTCTGATTACCTGAAATGTCAATTCAAATAATGAATTATGTCAAAGTAAAAGTTGAGATGAGGCAAATGTGTTATTTTCCATAATTAACTTCAGGATTACAGGTGGAGTCCAAATCACTGCTTTCAATGTCTCAACCACGAACAAAAACCCTATTATTCAAACCATTCTGTGAAACAACACTCCCAAATTTAGTTGATGCAATTTCCTTTAAAAAGTTGTATTTTCAGTCTGGACATGTCTGCTGGGCCAAAAGATGTCACCATCCTTGTTAGCTGATGAGAAGCATGATACAGGAATTATCCTGTTATTTGTTACTTTCTGTCGTTTCTCCACTGTAACAATGTTTCCGATGGGTGTGCTGCTTTCTAAACATACTTCCTCGGGTTTGTGCAGTCGCCCATGCCCAAGACCATCCTCATACCCATTCCTATATCCAAATCCTCGGCTCCTCGCTTCCGCAACAGCGTGGAGGGCCTGAACCAGGAAATCGAGCGCATCATCATCCGAGACACCCCGGAGAAGGACGAGGCCATCGTTGTGAGTCCCCAAGAACATGTTGATGCATTCCATGAAGGACAGCGGGTCACACTGCCGCAACGCTGTTTTTGTGACTTACCTAGCCGCAGGATGTCCCTGACGGCCATCGCGCGCCGCCACCGGTTCCCGCTCAGCGCAGCAGCAGCACCCGCAGCATCGACACACAGACGCCATCGGGGGGTGGCCTTAGCGGCAACTGCAGCAGTCGTCCCGACTCCATCTCCCCCTCCTACCTCAGCGTCCTCAATGACACGGCTGGGGGCAGCCCCTACGATGAGAAAGGTGAGCAGAAACCGAATTTACTTGAGATTTTCTTACAGTGCATTTTGAATTTTAGAGTTTACCCTTTAAAAATGGGCAATCAAAACTCCTTCTAACCAGAGCTAAGTCCATGCTCCCCACTGCCCAAGTACGCCGCCTCTCCCAGACCCAACAACAGTTACATGTTCAAGAGAGAACCACCAGAGGGCTGTGAGAAGGTCAGAGTATCTGAAGAGAGCATGTGAGTAGTCTTCAAGTTTTATGATACATTCGTAACTCATAACAAAGGAATACTGATGTGAACAACTATGTGTCACTTTGTTTTAAGGCCCAAACCTCTGGAGGAGATCCCTCCCTTCCTGTGTCCCGACCGCAACAAGGTCAACTTCATCCCCAACAGCGGTTCTGCCTTCTGCCTCGTCAGCATCCTCAAGCCCCTGCTTCCCGCCCCGGACCTCAACTTTCGCCCAGGGGTGGGCCTCCGGAGCCTGTCCCCGTCCCTGGTGCCTCTCTCCACCCAGCCCTGTCTCCTGGAGGAGCCGGAGAGCTTTTGACTGCCCCGTTGGCCTCAAAGTCAACAACCCTCTTTCCCTTTCCTATCAGCCGAATCAGAAAACACTATGGAATCAACCGTTTTGCTCCTAAAACAACAACAAAAAAAAGCCTTTAGCATGCCAGCTAAGCTCTCTCTGATGTCCTTCTTTTGTTAAAAAGCTCTTCCCACTGCCTCCTCCTCTGATGTGAGACTCCTGCCTTCCAGGGCAGGCGTTTGTAGCTCACCTTTCACCGCTTTCTTCTACCTTCAGCACTGGTTCCATTCCTGTTCTTCTCGGAGAAAACAGGGGGGGAAAAAGACAGACATTTCTTTTGATTTCATCGTATTATACCATGGCGCCTTTCCACAGACATATCTGTTTTTCTATCTACGGTTGTTTGTCTTGATATAAATTATGCCTTCCATTATGAAAAAAAAAAAAAAGAAAGAAAAAGGCCGCTGGTTTTCTCATAGACCGCCAGATCGACCGCAGAGGTCAACTTTGGTGCTGCCAGATGAATCGTAGCATACCTTGAAGGGATGTGAGAAGTTCAAAAATGTGCCTGACGTTTTCGACCGCAGTTTCCCTGAACCGTCATAATGCTGTGAACGTAATTATGATCATCGCACTATGAAGGCTGTAGATACAAGCAGCAAAGAAGAAAAAGTGCAAACAGCGTATCCTTAAAATACCTGCAGACCAAATCCTGGGATCCGTTTGCTACTTTTTTCTTTTTTTTAATCAGCCCTTTGCTGGGCACCTTTGGGAAACACAGGCCAGGGCTATGATGTTCGACGCATGTTCAACCCGTGTCTGCTTGCCCCTCCCCATACCCGACCTCCCTTCAGCGCCAACCTTTGCTCACCCTCGCCCATCTTTTCTCCGTTTTGCGAGCTCCTCCTCTTCCATGAGGTCCTCCCGTCTTGGTCGGCTTGTATTGCTTTTGAATGCATCTACTTGCAGGGTTTTTCTCACGGAGAGGCTGGTCAACTCAAGGTCCCATGCAGCCGCAGACCATCGCAGCAATCTGGGTTGCAGAAAATAGACAATTTTAAACTATTTGTATAGCCAGCAAAGAATCAAATGAAACTGTGTACTGTTAATGTTTAAAATAAACTACATTTAGTAAGGTTAGGCTTCTTTATATTTAGTCTCTTTGACTTAACCTAGAACTGGTGTGGCCCATATAAACATACAGAATATAGAAGGTAAAGAATTACATTGTACAGGAATTTCAGATTGAGCTGTTTCGGTAATGCTAACCATACTGACAACATAAGATTCCAAAAAGGCTTAAATATCTCAACTACATCAGAATTTTCTGCTTCAAAATCTTATAAGTAATGTTTTACTGCAACTACTGTCTGAAACTTAAATAGCTAACGACCGTTATTGGTCAATTTTGAGGGAAACAACTGGCTCAAGTCAATATCAGCAAATCAAAAACTGGGTGGTAAGAAAATATTAAGTCTAAACCGATGGCCTAATTTGTCTGACCGCTGCATTGTTATAGTTTTTCTAAAGAACAAACACGCAAAAAGCTTACCTTTCCAGGCATTAAGTGATGACTGTAGCTCGCTCAGTGACAGCCTCTCCGTGTCAGAACCCACCCTCCTGTATTTTTGTAGATGTCACGATTAATTAACGGTGCCTGCTACAGTGGGACAGGAATGTACTGGACTTGTAAATACAGAGGCACTGTGTTTGTATTACTGGCTGACAGAGATATGTAATCGGACGAGGCAACAAGTGGAACGTACGACTTCTCATCTTGAGTACTGTGAATTACAACTTGACTCATTATTGTGAATGATGATGTATTTATTTCTCAGACAGGAGAGGATTTGGGTCTTCGGAGATTTCTAAACAAGAACCGACATCTCAGGTCGTAGAGAGTAGGATACAAAGATATATGCTGACATAAATAAACAGAGCAAAACAACGACTGCTTTCTATGTAGCCTCACACGGTGGAAATCCCGACTGACTTTAATTTGTAGCAGAGTAGATGTAGAAAAGTGTGGATGTTATGTGTTCAGCGACCCGACTTGGAGCAACGGCTGGTTGCGACAAAAAAAAAAACAAAGGGAGAAAAAAACAATAAAAAATTGGCCCCTTCCAAAATCCACCCGCTGAAACACAATCACGACGACGGCGGCACATTCCGACTTGTCCCTTGGAAATGTCACCAAAAAAGACACACAAAAAAAGGATTAAATACCTGAAACATAGATGCTTGTTTCAGTGTGGAAAGAAAAGCATTTTGGGATGAGGCTTCGTTTCTTTGTTTGCGTGTCCAGTTGATTGGGAACCAAACTGCCAAGTTTTCATCTTTTAAACCCCCTTGAGTGAAATAAAAGGCATAGCTAAAATAAACGACTCGTCTCTTATTGACTTGAGAAATACATTCTTTTATTTTCAGTGTGAAAAGTAATATTTACACTTGATCTGACAGAAATAGTAATATTCTAGTAGTCTTTTTTTTTTTAAGTTGCATTAGAAGATCAATGAAGTGAAACAAATGTTGCAGGTGAGCTGGAATATTAATGTGCAGCTTGTTAAAAAATATCAGCAAACAAATATCCCAACTGAGGATTTGGTGCAATTTGGACCCTTTTTAGTTCCAATTTTAAAAATCCCTTTTAGAAACAAATTTGCACTAAATCGCACTGAAGCATTTAGTTGTCAGAAATCCACACATGGAGACAAATCCCTTTTTGTTAAGCTGTTCCTTCGAATGCTGTGTTTAACGGCACACAAAGCTAAAATAATGAATATTTGAGTTTTATTTCATAGCTATTATGGTTTTGTGATTATTATGATTATGACGCACCAGTTATCTGCAAGCAAAAGAGGTCTCCTTGGCCTTAGACTGGATTCAGTAGATGGAATTTCAACCACGTCGTTTGTTGATGTCGCACTAAAGTTTGCACACCTTGAATTTCAGTTTGAGAATTCACAGTTTAAAGTTAGCTCCAGACCATTTGATGAAATCGAGGCATTTGCTATCTACCGCATCATGAAGAACCCATTAAATGGCTCAGTTCGCTCTGCTTTTACCAGTTCGGCTGTGAGAGGATATGGAAAAAATGACATGCCAGACTACTACTTTATGGCCAAATAATAATCCTCCTGCAAAGTTAATTTGTAGTTCTGGGTTAATGTAAAAAAAAAAAGAAGTATGGAAAAATATGTTTCTCTAGAAGTCATCTGTCACATCCATTTCTGACTCATCCATCCGTCTTTTTCTGCCATGTTTCATTTTTTAAGGCTGATCAGAGTAGAAATATTTGCTATGGACAGACCTTTGGAAAAAATTTGGAAAATTGACCTACAAGTACGTAAGGATTCACCTTTTTGCCGCATCGTTACCACCTTTCGACCATTTCCTCCATTCCAAACACATCAACAATCCACTCTGCTTCAGTTCTAGACAAATATCACATAAAATTTCTGTAAAATTTAAGTTTCAACTTATTTGCACTTAAGTTTAAACTTAAATGCACATTTCACTCTTATGAAATGTGACATTTTATGTCCCCAGATGATACCCAATAGCTTTCTAGTTGTGCTCATTATTTATCAATCATTTAACCATATTCTATTACCAAAAGCCTTAGTTATGACTTGAGAAAAAGAATTTGAACTTCAGCTGTTAGATTGCATTTTGCTGAACCTACCTCTGGGTTCTGTCGTATAGTTTGCTTATTTTCTTTGGGCGTAAGGTGTGCAGACAAGTTCTACTGCAAACAGATAAACATGGCAGTAGCTCATGCACAAAGCAGGAAGAACAAACTGCTTAAAGGATGCAGTCGTACAAGTAGGTAGGGGCTGATTTAAGACTAGTTGCCAAATTGCTAAAATGTTTGTTTCTGGCGTTTAAGGTTTCATAAATGAGACGCCACAGAACTCTATAGAGTTTTCTCCGACTCTATAGAACATGAAAGACAAATTTGGCTTTCTGGAAACTACTCAGCAAACATCAGCTTGTTATATTGGTTTTAAAGAGCTGAAAGTGTCCAATAAAAAAGTGCTAGATACATATTTTGGCTTTAAATTTTTGTTTAAATGCAATGAAGGTGTAGTGGTTTCACTTTGCCTGTACATGATGGATTAGTGTGTCGTTTTTGGGGTCAGGAGTTAGGAAAAACAGACCTATCACATCCCAGCCTATGAATCATTTGTGACAATCATGTGGTACTTCACACAAACTGTTTTCAGCAAAACTGAAACGTCACAGAAAGCAGCGTTTTTTTTTTTTGTGTGTGTGTTTTTTTTAAAATCCACTCTGGATCTCTGAATATGTACACTCAGCAAACGGACACACGCCCAAACAAACCAAACACAGAAAGCGCACGGCAACATCCAAAACAAAGGCGGGGCGCCGACATCCTCCCTAACATCCAGGCGCTGCAGCCATGATCAGGTAACACGAACCGCCGCAGCTTCGGTGTAACTGTAAAGTCAGTTACAGCAGCTGAGGGTCATCAGCTCGATGTTTTTAGCTTCTAGATTAGTGTGTGTGTGTGTGTGTGTGTGTGCTCAATTATGATGGAATGACAAGTTGCTGTAATACAGATGTGTTTTCAAAGAGAGACTGAAGGTACATTGAAGCAGCTCCGAGAGGTTCAGGCGTTGAGCAGCTCGTCAGCAGAGCGTCCGATGGCGTCGGGGTTGGAAAGCGGGTCAAGGTCGGCAAACAGGTTGAACCACGCAGACATGTCTTTGGATCCTCCTGGAGCTGCTGTAGGAAACGTCAGACAGAAGGGTCAGCTTGGGAAGAAGCGACTCTGCTGAGAGGTTTTCTACAGCTGAGCGTCGTACCGTTAGCTGCAGCTGGATGAGATCGGGGAGCTGCCTGGTTCTGACCAGGGGGCAGCTGCAGGGGTGGAGCTTGGAACATGGGTGGGGTCACCCAACCTAAAGTATGCAGGGGACACAAAACAGATTACAGTCAATGTGGACTTAGCAAGGCCATCCTATAGGTATGCTTGCTGGTTAGCAAGGATATGTCGAGGTTATCTAGCTAACTAGCTATGCTGGCTAGCTCATTACATTCACAAGTCGGCTGAGGCTACTGCTAACGATAGCCTCAACCGTCTTGAAAGGGCAACTCAAGCCTTTGCCTCACAAAAATTAAATATGAATATATGATATGAAATACTTGTGTCAAGACAAAATTTAAGACCTGTGATGAACATATTAACAACAGCTTTCTCCATCCATCAACTAACAGCCTTACATGGTCAACTTATTTTATGAAATCAATTGAAGAAATTTTAAGGCTTTAATTTTAGACACACAAAGTTCAGACTTTCTATTGCTGCGCGGTGGACACCCTGTTTGCGCGGTGGACACCCTGTTTGCACGGTGGACACCCTGTTTGCGCGGTGGACACCCTGTTTGCACGGTGGACACCCTGTTTGCACGGTGGACACCCTGTTTGCACGGTGGACACCCTGTTTGCGCTTTGTGGCTCACCTGAGGAGCTCAAACTGTGATCCAGCAGCTGTGACGGCAGGAAGCCTGTAGGGCTGGGTGGGTTGGAAGGGGGACGGGTGGGTCCGGTGCCGGCGGCGGGAACGCTAGGGGGGTCAAACGCCCCGAAGGCGTCTTGCCACTCTCTGCTGAACTCATCGCTGCCCCCTGGGCCCGGGCTGAGGAGGTCCTTCAGGAAAGCGATGTCGCTCCGCTCACCATCTTCCTCCTCCAGCGTTAGCCCTGGTTCTGATGGGATCGGCAGACTGCCTGAGAGCAAACTGTCACCTAAACAAACACAATGACAGGAAGAAGACTCTGAATATCAAAAAACGCTGCTTTTCAGGAGCAGTTTGTGCTTGTTATGTTTGATTGTGGAAATGAAGAAGGTAAGAATTTCCCCCACAGCCAAGAAGAGAAGCGCAAGCAAGTTGAAGTCAAAGGTCAAAGTGAAAAGGTGGCGAAAACAACCAGCCAGTTTACCCGAGGCGGGCAGCTGTGGGAGGCTGGACTCGAAGCGTCCGAAGCTCCAGCTCTCGCTCTGGTCGCCGTCCTGAGAAGGAGGCGGGACCAGGGGGACGTCTGATGGGGGCGGCACGCTGCAGGCCATGAGCATGAGGTCGTCGCCAGCGTCTCCAGAGAGCCCTCTGAGGTCGTGCATGGCTGGAATGTTTATGGTGCGCTGAGATCAGACTCATTGTAAAAGTTTCCCGCTCACACTAACGAGCAGCAGTCCCCATGTGGACAATTTACAGAAAATGAATACGCACATAAAAAAAAAAAAAAAAGAACAAAAAAATCACTTACCATTCTCACCAGCTTTGCTCTGCCCATCACTGCTGAGCTTAAGGTCTGCATTGGTAGACAGAAATATGCATTTTTATTTTGATCAAAACCAAACAATAAAAAGCAAAAAGTCTGAACTCTACTGTTGCTCAACGTGGCTGAGCTATTTTGTGTTTCATCCAACAGGGGGCAGCACTAACCTGAATTAGATGTACTTTCTGCTGGCTTGTCATCGTCCAAGGACACCAGGCTGAGAGGAAGGACAAAAGACATTTGGAGAATTTAAAGAAAGAATAATAAAATCTATAATATCTTTTTTTTTCACATATTGACAATTAGAAAACTAACAGCAAATTGACTTGAATGCGACACGATTTGAAGTAGTAACTTCAGCGAAAGACTGTTCTTCTAAATATTTATTTAAGAATATTTTCTACCTTAGAATGTGCTATGTTTTGTTCATCTTTTTCAATAAATCAAACTAATGTGGAAAAGGAAATATAGAATGACAAGGATTTGCATGTCTGATGCAGACCAGAGTTTTAAGACATTTAACTGACTGACATGAAAATTCACCTGTCTGTGTTGTTCTGTTGGGGATTTTCGTTCTTCTCTTTATTTTGGGAATCAGAGATTTCCTCCAATGGATCCCGTAGATGCTGAAAAGATTAAAAAAATATTAAAAACTGGATTACTATGTGCAAAAGGCAGAATTTGGCCCAGATTCAAAACGCAGCCTGCAGCACCTTGATTGTGGTGAACTGGTATGGTATGTGCCCTTGGAAGGCGTCGTGGATTCCCGACATGGCGTTGGCTGTTTTCTCCCAGAACTGCAGCAGAGTGGTCTGATGGAACCGGGAGGAGAGAACATTTTAGTTACTGACAGTTGAGGCTGACAGACGCATGTCAGAGTGTGAACTCCAGCGGACCTGGTAGGTGCAGAGGGAGTGAGACAGCATGTTACAGCGGCTCGCTCCCAGCATGTCCACCTTCTGACACACGTCATTCTTCAGCTTCTCAAACTGGCTCTTAGTCCCTCTGACCTGCGACTGGACCTGAGAGCAGAAAGACACGGGAACGATGAAGCGACACGGACAGGTGGAACCGAGGGGCGTCGGCGATCCAAATGCTTCCTGCCTTGCGGAACTTCTCCAGCTGTTTGTAGGTGTCTGGGTCCAGTTCCTGAGAAACGTCTTTCATCCAAAGCAGCGCTCCCCTGTACTCCGTGCGGGCCTTCTCCATCCGGCTGACCGTCAGCAGCGTGTCGGCTATGGCGCGCCGCCGGAACGTCTCCACTTCCTGATACATGCGCTGCAACGGCGGGCAAAGCGCCATCCTAAAGATGCCACAGAAAAGAAGCGCAAGCGTTCAAAGTTAAAAAGCTTCGTTTTCCCCAAACAGTAGTTAACTGATGGTCAGCTGCAGCTGCTGACCTCTGCTTGGCGGAGGTGCACAGGGCCTTGCTGGTGGCCTCCATCATGTTCCCGGCCTTCGTTCGGTCACGTTCAGCCTGGAAACGCAAGAACAGGCCGAGCTCGTTCTCCTCCTGGGATAACCCTGGGAATAAAAAAAAACAAAAAAACGGGGGAGTAAAGAAGAATCGGTCCGTAAATTCAAAAAACAGAAACCGGCAGATATGCGTGGTTCTGACTCACGTGTGATTCTGTGCTGGTACTTTTCGATCACCTTCAGCAACTCTGTGCACGTCAGCTGAACGGAGCGGAAGAACTGCAGAAAACGACACACAGGGCAAGAAGAACTGAAAAAGGTGTCATTTAGAAAATCAAAATGATCAAAATGAATGATCAAAATACATTCAGGTTTGAGATTGTAACGTGAGAAAAATCTACGATATTTTAAAGAAGTGAAGAATTTTTAGTTTATTTCAGTGTAACAGTGGACTTTTTTGGGATTGACCCGTTCCAGTAACTCCCATCCCTCAGCCTCATGAACAGCTTGCCACGGCCGTACACAGCATGTATCATAGCAACAGAATCTCTGAGGCTTTCCTGAAGAGGAAACAAAGCAGAAGTCTCCATGACCTTTCGAAAAACATCTGCAAGGGCCGAATTTACAGTAAAAACACAAAACAACCAGCCTTAAACTTCACACAAAGCAACATAAGGAGTCTCCTTTTTAACGGCATAAGACAGAAAAATGGACGACGCAGCTGCACATGTTCAGAGTTACTTATTAACTGGAGAATAAACAGAGACTTCCTTCAGTAGTGGTCAAACATCTACAAGTTGTTGTGTTAGGCGTAATATGGACCGGTTCGCTGACTCCATGTGTGTCTGATTAACCCTGCCTTGTTTTAGAGACAATATATAGAAAACATGTTTTACAGAACACAAAACAACCAAGGGTTTAACGTATTTGCAAATCTGATCTGCTCGTTTAGTGCCCTGAGGACAATTTCTGAGGCAAACGGGAAGAAGAAACATTAAAATATTGTGTTTCAGTTTTCTTTTCCCTGTCCTCTTTCTGATCACCATGACAGCGGGGAGGGATTTGGGGGCAAACAGGCTGCCGGATCTTGTTCCAGACGGAACAAAAAGTTCAGTTTCTCCCTCAATATTCAGCGACACACACACAGGCACACAGAGTACCAGGTCCCTCACAAACCAACACGATGTCCTTCATTTTAAGTTCCAAATGATGGGAAGCGAATCTCGCTATGCAGTCAAACTGTCATATAAAACATTTAATAGCTTGTTGGCATCGAGAACTCTTCCTGCAGAACCTTCTCCCACTCCTAAATGTTACAAATGAGCGAACCTACCTCAAGCTTGGCGTCCAGGTCGGCATCTGAAGCCACCACATACTCATCCTCCTTCTTGCCTGTAGCTTTGATGAGGACCTGCTTGGTCTTCCAGAACTTCTTCTGCATGCGCGCCATCACTGAGCTGTCCTCGCCCAGCAGAGCCCGGCCGCCGCTCAGCATGTCCGCAGCAAACCTGGAGGTCAAAGGGACGAAAGGCTCGGTTCTGATCTACGCCGTCGCAGGTTAAAACCAAAATCGGGTGCGCTTAAATGTCACATACCCCTCCATCTTTGGAAATCCGCTGTTTTGTCTTCTGAAAGAACCCAAGAGTTAAAGAGTTTTAAAGAAACCAATCAAGCAATGTATATGTTTGTTTGGCATTAAATTAATTTCATAAAAACAGGCAATGAAGAAAATTACTTGCACTTTTGAAAAGCGGTACATTTTGTTCTGCCTGTGCTTTGAGAACCACTAGAAATTTCACATCTAAATAAATGCATAAATAAAAAGCAAACACACATATTTAAACGAACTGATATGCTGCACTATGCCTTGTGTGACGTCATCAGACGTATGCCTTGCGTCTGATGTTGGTCCAATGTACTGATTAAATAACATACAACAAAACAAATCCAAAACCGACCAGGACAAGTTGTTCTGTAGGCAACAAACTACGACTAAACGGAGTTTTGCTGATTTTCCAGAGAAATCTGAACCCTTCCTGTTAAGCCAGAGAGTTGTAATCAAGTTATAACCTGTCACTGGGGCTTATCTGTGGCTGATGGGCGCTACAGGCTAAATGGGCTAATTGAATATGGTTCCCGGAGTTGGGAGCAAAGACACCTGCGACCTGGCAGCAGCTGATATTGAAGCAGGTGTTCGGTTTCACTAAACTCCCCCCGTTTGTCGACAAGAGACAAAAACTCCGAGGTGTCGCTCGGATATGTGTAACTCCCGAGAAATATCGCGATAAAATGGGTAAGCGGTAAAGTCGAGAAAAATAAGCATCACTTGGGTTCCTCTGCTAGCAACAATTTAGCTAGCAGCAAATGTCAGTTGGAGAACGTCTCAGAGAGATGAACGTTCAAAGCAGCGACTGAAAACGCCAACATAAAGTCGGGTTGTTTTCGCCCTCTCATCCTCCCCGTTGTCCCGCATGAATGTGAAATGAAAGGATAGGCTGTTACCTTCCTCGTAGTGTTGTCCAGCCGCGCGAGCATCTATGTGGACCAGCTCGGCTAACCTCCTCTCCCGATAGCCATCATCCTCTGAGTCAGAGAAACAGGATATGCACACTCGCTGCCGCGGCGGCGAGTGACCACGAGGGGGCACCGTTCGTCAGATTCCGTCGAAGATCGTCTATTGGGATTAAAAGCCGAGGACGACGAACAAGTCCACTTTTTGTCTGCCGAGATGGATTAGTTTCTAAATCAAGCGTTGTGCATAGGGAAACTTCAAAATGCAGATAAAATCGCACATGCGAGTGTTAAGGGAAGGTGAAGTCACAGTTGTCAAACCAGTCTGAGCAGGAAAGGCTTTTCCACAAGACAAGAAACATGAGGAAGTTCACTCGGTGAAACATTTCCTAAAAGGAAATACTTACATAAACCTTCTTAATTGACCTAGAGATTAAAATTAGTTTTTAAAATATTTTTTTCTGTGTATGTAATAAAATTACAGTGCCTGGCAAAACCTTGAATGCTTTCCATTTTTATGTTACAACCACCAAAATGCAGTTTATTTAAGAGAATTGTAAGATTTTCATACCATTTGACATCACATCCACAAAGGTCACAAGGCTTCATCGGTAAACAAAAAAGTTTTTAATAACAAATACCTTTTTTACACGGAGACAACACTTGTACATAACTGTAGGTTTATTTGTCTTTTGTAAAGTCGACACGTTTGAGGAAGGAAAGTTAATTTATGCTCTGCTCGGGTCACAGGGAGACTGTAAAACAACCAGGTTCCGAAAACAAGATGGCTGGCGTCTGCCTACGCCCCTGCATCCGTCTGAGCGCCGGAGTGTCTGTAGGTGTAGAGCTTGTTATCTGCGCCGCCGCTCAACATCAGCTGAAAAACAAAAAGGCACAACAACGATTCAGGCGCTGAAAATGACATTTCGCGATCAGTTGAAAGGAGAGCCGGTGAGAAACGCTGATGGTTTGCCTCACCCCGCTGTCTGTCCAATCCACGCAAAACACTTTGTCCTCGTGAGCAGCCAGATCGTACAACGGAGCCTTGCAGCTGAAACGAGACGGTTCGCAGAATGAGGCGGCGCAGGCAAAGAAGTGTGGATAAATGACCCCTAAAAGTTTTGTTTTCTACATGGTGATCTGTATTCACATTCTTTAAGTCCACCAATTTGATGACAATTAGTCTAATTTTTCAGTTTTAACAAAATGCCTACATACCTCCTGGTGTCCCAGAGTTTGACCAGGTTGTCTAGGGAACCGGACATGAGCTGATGCTCATGGGAAGGCGCCCACTTGACTGCGGTGACCCAGCCGGTATGGGACGTCAGAGACAACAGCACCAGCGTCCCGTCTGATGAGCAGAAGTTGCAGAAACGACATCAGAAAGCAGAAAAGAGGAGGGGTGTTGTGAAAAAATTTTTTTTTATATAATTTAAGCCCAATCGGCACCTTTGGTGCGAGGGTCCCACAGTCTGATGTGTCTGTCGGTGCTGGCTGAGGCCAGCCGTCGACACAGAGGGGAGTAGGAGATGCAGTTGAACACTTTACTGCCCGACTGGGAGGGGGGGACAAAACAGAATGCATTGTGGGAAACATGACCGAAACAGGTTTATGACTGAACAGATGTGTCTACAAAAAGTTCTCTTCTAGCAAATTTTTGACTTTTCAAACTTGGAAGAGCCCCCATGTTTTTTCCCCCCTCAAAATTTTAAATATATATATTCTTAACTAAAGAATACAAGGCTATAATTTCAACATTGAGCTGCTGCTCTTCTTACCAGTGTGGTCTTCATGACTCCGGCTTCCACGTCCCACAGTCGGATGGTATGGTCCCAGGATGCACTGCACACTTCCTCGCTGTCGCACCACAAGACAGAGGACACCGCCTCGTTGTGTCCGGACAACGTCATCAAGGGGGTCTGTGTCGGAGAAGGAAAACACGAGTTAGGAGCTGGAGGGGTGGTTTCGAGCTGCTCCAGGTCGGGTTCTGTGCGTACCCTGGTCAGGCCGAGCTGCTGGGTCTTCTGTTTCTTCCTGGGTCGGTCAGCGAGCTCCTCCACCTCATCCGCCACCTCTGTGGGCACCGCCGACCAGATCTTCAACATTTTGTCCCAGGAGCCGCTGCAGAACTGTAAGAAACGGAGAAAACGCTGTTAGTCAGCGCTTATCGATTCAAAAGTAAAACACCAAAGCTTTAAATGTCGACCTTAGAGCCTGAGGGGTCTGTGGAAATGGCGTCGACGCTTCCTGTGTGTCCCCGACAACAGTGTCTGGCTTTCGCCTGGTTCCTCTCAGAGTTCCACTCCCACAGCAGGACGGTCTGGTCCAGAGACGCAGTCAGGAGGAGGGACGTCAGGCCATCTACGCAGCAAAACACAACTTTTAAGCCTAAAAAAACAAAACACAGACAAACTGCGATAGAAAGTTCTAAGCAAGCTGACCTCTTTTGACCCAGGCAACATCCTTCACGACGTCAGAGTGTCCAGCCATTGTCGTCACCGCCTTCCCTTCTAAAGACCATATCCTGGCTGTCTTGTCGTACGATCCTGTTAGGATCCTGAAAAAAACGGTGAGGGGGAGAGGGGAAGTTTAAACAAAACTGGCGCTTTATTAAGACGAATAAGCGACGTTTTCCAAACAGAAGCAGGGCGTGTTTACCACTCGCTGTCCGCCTCCACAGAGCTGATCCAGTCGTCGTGCATGATGCACTCCTCTGGCTCCGGCGCCGTGATCCGCTGCACGTACTCTATCTCCACTACGTCTTCCTGAAACACAAGATGGGAACACTCAGCTTTACTAGGTTTTAGAACAATTGAAGTTAAAAGTGTAAGAAAGCTCAGGCAGGTCTTACCGTAGATATTCCCTCCGTCTCCATGTGAGTGGACAGCTGGGTTCGCAGGAACTGACCCTTGACCAGGAAGTCAAACTCCACCCTACTGTGAGATGCTGTCGGGTCAAGTACAAAACACAAAATACTGCAACAAATAAACTGCAGTTATACCTTGAATTTATAGCTAGCTTTTGTGTTTTCTTGTTTTGTTTTAGTTTGCAAAAGGCTTCCATGAAAGCATCATGGTGTTAAAGAGTATTTTTCTAGAAATACTCATCTTTGTGAGGCTACGACTGCTGTTTCATGCGATCACGGAAAAAAAATACTTTTGACTTCATAAGACATGCGCCAGTTCTGTTGTGTCAAGTCGTCTATGCACATGGTGGCATGATTGGAATTGATTGTGTTGTCTTGTCACTTTACCATGCTTTGCTTCCAGGAGCTTGTTGATGACGTTGCTAAGATCCTGGACTTCAGAGGCAGCTGGGATGGAGAATGGGACGTCATCTACAACATACCTACACACAGACACACACACACAAAGAGAGAGAGAGAGGGAGAGAGAGAGAGATATCAGCCTGTTCCAGTGCTATCAAATTAAAGGGTAAATGACAGCAGCTAGTCCCAATTTCACATTTATTATACATAACTTACTAAAAATCAAAAATTACGGACCACGTGCACTTTTGTAGTAAGTTAACAATAGAACTCAACCGCAGAAATGAACTGAATTTGACTCCACTACAGTTTAGCTCCGCGAACTAGCTGCTCAGTTAGCTTAAAGCGCTGCTGCTGTTTCCAGTCTCACCTTTGGTCTTCCGTGAAGAACCTCGCCTGTAACTGCGACATTTTGACTTCTGTACAACAAAATTTGTGTATGTATGCTCCAGAAATTAGCAAACGGCAATAAAACCCTCCCGCTCCACTTCATAACACGTCCAACTCGCATGCAGTGTCGCCATGTGCCGTGTGGGAAGACTTTCAAGTCGAATACCGATCGAGTTCGGCGACCCGTCGATCGCCTGATCATGACTGGCTGCTGAGCGCTGCCCCCTTAGCGCACGCGCCCAATCAATTCTACGTCAACTTCAGCGCCATTTTACGAGTGGCATTTTATTATTTTGATTCTCCCTCCCTCTTTACTTTTTGGGGGCTTTATTACATTAACAAACTTATGGGCTGATCAGGAATCAGGTTCATCACAGCGGGAACAGCATATTAGCATCAAGCTAACAGAACATTAAACGTTCTGTTATGTTCGTGAGAAACGCGCCCGTCTTTCATGAACTGTCAACGAGATGTTTAATATTACTGCCAACCACCAGTAGGGGGTGCTGTTTCGCCCATTAGACATGAACCCAAACTTGGGAGTAATGGATAACGGTAATCCGTCCCCGGTTCTGCTGGTACTGCTCGGCAACTAGAACCATAAGACTTTACTTTACTGTCCTTCCTTTTCAAATAGCGACACTTCGCTTTTCCCTGATTAAATGCGTATTTCAAAAGCTCTGAGTTAACTCATGCTCTCTGGGGAAACTCACCACAGTTAGTTCTGACATCAATTTGTGACATCACGCATGTTGATGTCACAAAGAGTGAGGCACCCTTTGTGGAGCTGCAGTACATCACAAAGCTGCTCTCCTGAAATTCTACGGTCATTGCAGAAACTGGAGTGCAAGTGCAAGGGTTGATCCCTAACAAGAGATTGACAAAAGCTTTTCAAGGCAAAAAGATAAGTCCTAACTGAGGTAAATAACGGAAAACGTTGAACAGGTTGTGGATTTGTACAGACAAAAAGGATTAAAAATGAATCAGACCAGTCAGAGCAGTAAGGCGTCGTCTTCTGATGCCAAGAATGAGAAAATACTATGGACCTTAGCTCGACAGACGGAGAAGCTCCGTGACATCTTGAAAGAAGTCAGCACGATGTCCATTGAGCGACAGTGCCTGATTAAAGCCAATGAGGAGCTGAAGATGCAAGTTATAACCACAAAAAAAGCTACACTTGAAATAGACAGGCTGCTTGGGGAGAAAGACAAGGAATTTAAGAAACTGGCCGACGAAAACAGAAATTTAAAGAAGGATAACGCCACACTGGAGCAGAAAAACACCGCCCTGGAGAAGGATAACGCCACACTGGAGCAGAAAAACACCACCCTGGAGAAGGATAACGCCACTCTGACGCAAAAAAGTATCGCCTTGGAGATAAAAAACATCGCTCTGGAGAAAGAAAAGACCGCTCTGGTGAAAAAAAGTATCGCCTTGGAACTAAAAAACATCGCCCAGACCACTCTTGTGCAAAAACGTACCACCCTGGACCAAGAAAACGCCGCCCTGGAGAAGATAAACGCCAGCTTTGACCATGTAAACGTCGTCTTGGAGGAGGAAAACACCGCCCTGAAGATGAAAAGCACCTTTCTGGAGCAGAAAAGTATCATCTTGGAGCAAAAGAAAACCGCCCTTGAAAAGGAAAAGACCACTCTGATGCAAAAAACTACTGTCTTGGAGCAGAGAAACACTATCTTGGAGCAAATTATCACCGCCATGGAGCAAAAAAACACTGCCTTGGAGCACATAAACACCACCCTCACACAGGAAAACACCACCTTGGGTCAGAAAAACATGGCGGTAGGTCAGAAAAACACCACTTTGGAGGAGGAAAAAAATACCCTGACGCAGGAAAACACCGCCCTGGGGCATAAAAACACCTCCTTGGAGGAGGGCAAAAGCGCTCTGGAGCAAATAAATACCTTCCTGGAGCAGGAAAACACCATCCTGAAGCTTAAAAGCACTGCTCTGGAGCAGAAATGTACCGCCCTGGAGCAACAGAACACCACCCTGGAGAAGGAAAACACCGCCCTGGGGCATAAAAACACCTCCTTGGAGGAGGGCAAAAGCGCTCTGGAGCAAATAAGTACCTTCCTGGAGCAGGAAAACACCATCCTGAAGCTTAAAAGCACTGCTCTGGAGCAGAAATGTACCACCCTGGAGAAGGAAAACACCATCCTGGGGCATAAAAACACCTCCTTGGAGGAGGGCAAAAGCACTCTGGAGCAAATAAGTACCTTCCTGGAGCAGGAAAACACCATCCTGAAGCTTAAAAGCACTGCTCTGGAGCAGAAATGTACCACCCTAGAGAAGGAAAACACCATCCTGGGGCATAAAAACACCTCCTTGGAGGAGGGCAAAAGCGCTCTGGAGCAAATAAGTACCTTCCTGGAGCAGGAAAACACCATCCTGAAGCTTAAAAGCACTGCTCTGGAGCAGAAATGTACCACCCTGGAGCAACAGAACACCACCCTGGAGAAGGAAAACACCATCCTGGGGCATAAAAACACCTCCTTGGAGGAGGGCAAAAGCACTCTGGAGCAAATAAGTACCTTCAAGGAGCAAGAAAACACCATCCTGAAGCTTAAAAGCACTGCTCTGGAGCAGAAATGTACCACCCTAGAGAAGGAAAACACCATCCTGGGGCATAAAAACACCTCCTTGGAGGAGGGCAAAAGCGCTCTGGAGCAAATAAGTACCTTCCTGGAGCAGGAAAACACCATCCTGAAGCTTAAAAGCACTGCTCTGAGCAGAAATGTACCACCCTGGAGAAGGAAAACACCATCCTGGGGCATAAAAACACCTCCTTGGAGGAGGACAAAAGCGCTCTGGAGCAAATAAGTACCTTCCTGGAGCAAGAAAACACCAACCTGAAGCTTAAAAGCACTGCTCTGGAGCAACTAAAGGGATCAACAAAGAATCAGACCAGTAAGGCGTCATTTTCTGATGCAGAGAATGAGAGAATACAATGGACCTTAGCTAGAGTTACACAGAAGCTCCATGACATCTTGAAAGAAGTGAGCATGATGTCCATTGAACGACAGTCTCTGATTGAAGCAAAGGAGGAGTTAAAGATGCAAGTTATAAACATAACTAAAGCTTCACTTGAAATAGACAAGCTGCTTCGCGAGAAAAACAAGGAATTTAAAAAACTGGTTGAAGTAAACAGAACTTTAAAGAAGGAAAAGACTGCGCTGGTGCAAATAAGTACCTCCCAAGAGCAGAAAAACACTGCACTGGCGCATAAAAACACCACCTTGGAGGAGAAAATAAGCATTCTGAAGCAGAAAAGCACTGGCTGGAGCAGAGGAACACAGTCCTGGAGCAGGATAAAAGCAAGGAGGAACTATCTTGGACAATATTAACACCACCTTGCATCTTGAAGTGGAACAGCTGAACAAAAGGCCGAGGGACAGAGTGGAACAGCAGAATCAGCAGCCATCTGAAGAGGAAACCCACAAGTCTTGCCGGTTTCCTGGCTTGCCTCCAGGGCTTCATAGGGAGTCCTGTTGGTCTCCGGGCTGACCTCCAAGGAATCAGGTCAAGTCCTACAGGTCTCCCCGCTGACTTCCAGCCAGGCTCAGGAAGTCGGCTGGGTCAAATGACCTGCAACAAAACTCAGGTTCCCACTCTGCCGTCATCATCCCAAAAGGTTTCTGCTCAGCCGCCCTCGTCCTCCAAGGCTGCTGTTCCGCTGGCATCCTCAGATTCTTATGGTGTTCCTTAGTTGTTTCCATTTAATTCTGCCTTGTTTTCCAGATCTGTTCTTCATTAGTGATTCTAACTACATTTATTTCTTGTTTCTAGTTATTTCCTTTGTTAAGTTTATGTCGGTGTAATTTCCCCCTTTTTCCTTTGCCATTTTCTCTATCCCTTTTCAGTCTGTTTCCATTCCCTCCACTCACATCTGCTTATCAGCCCAGTGGCACACTTGGTAGCTCTGTTGCCTTGCAGCAAAGAAGGGCCTGGGTTTGATTCCCAGCTCTGGATCTTTCTGCATGGAGAGAAAATCCATTTTCTCTCCATTGAGAAAATTGATTTTCTCCAGTTCTCTCCGGGTACTCCGGCTTCCTCTCAAAGTCCAAAAGCATGACTGTTAGGTTGTTTTTTACTTGTCTGTCTCTGTGTTGCTGGCGACCTGTCCAGGTTTTACCCTGCCTCTTGCTGGAGATAGGCACCACCACCTCTCCTGACCCCACTAGGGACAAGGGTGTAAGAAAAAGGATTGATAGATCATCCCAGGTCTTTTGTCAAGCCATGAACCTCCCCAGTATTTAAGCATTTCATTGTTAGTCACTTGGCTGCTTGTCTCATTTCTCCTGGTCTCTTTGTGATCTTTCTGTGTCTCCAGCTTGTCTTTGTTTTGCTGTTTTTTTTTTTTTTTTTTTGTTCCCTGGATTGTTTAATTTTTGTAAGTTTTGTTATTTGTTTTTTAATTAAATATTTTGTGGGGGTTTCTTCGGGAGTATGTGGTACCGGGCCCTTTGATACGGGCTGTCAGGTCCCTGTATGACTGGTGTCAGAGTCTGGTCCGCATTACTGGCAATAAGTCGGGCTCGTTTCCGGTGAGAGTGGGACTCCGCCAGGGCTGCTCTTTGTCACTGATTCTGTTCATTACTTTCATGGACAGAATTTCAGGCGCAGCCGAGATGTTGAGGGGATCCGTTTTGGTGGCCTTAGGATTGCATCTCTGCTTTTTGCGGATGATGAGGTCCTGTTGGCTTCATCAGGATGTGATCTGCAGTATTCGCTGGAGCGGTTCACTGCGAAGTGTGAAGCAGCTGGGATGAAGATCAGTGCCTCCAAATCCGAGGCCATGGTCTTGAGCCGGAAAAGGCTAGAGTGCTTTTTCCGGGTCGGGGAGGGTGACCTGCCTCAAGTGGAGGAGTTTAAGTATCTCGGGATCTTGTTCACGAATGAGGGAAGAAGGGAACGGGAGATCGACAGGTGGATTGGTGCAGCGTCTGCTGTGAAGCGGGTGCTGTACCGGTCTGTCGTGGTGAAGAGAGATTTGAGTCAAAAAGCAAAGCTCTCGATTTACCGGTCGATCTACGTTCCTACCCTCATCTATGTTCATGAACTTTGGGTCATGACCGAAAGAACGAGATCTCGGATACAAGCGGCTGAAATGGGTTTTCCCTATAGGGTGGCTGGTCTCTCCCTTAGAGATAGGGTGAGAAGCTCAGTCATCCGGGAGGAACTCAAAGTAGAGCCGCTGCTCCTTCACGTCGAGAGGAGCCAGTTGAGGTAGCTCGGGCATCTGGCCAGGATGCCTCCTGGACGCCTCCCTGGTGTTCCAGGCACGTCCCACCAGGAGAAGGCCCTGGGGAAGATGGAGGTACTATGTCTCTCGGCTGGCCTGGGAACGCCTTGGGGTTCCCCCGGAAGAGCTGGAAGAAGTGGCTGGGGAGAGGGAAGTCTGGGGCTCCCTTCTGAAGCTGCTACCCCTGCGACCCAACCCCAGATAAGTGGAAGACAGTGGATGGAATAATTTAAATATCATCCATCCATTTTCTGTACACCCTTGTCCCCTGTGGGATCTGGAGGGGTGTTTATGCCTATCTCCGGAGAATGTTTAAGGCAAGAGCCGGGATACACCCTAGAACTGGTCACCAGTCCATTGCAGAGCAACACAGAGACAGACAGAACAAACAACCATGCACACACACACTCACACCTAAGGAGAATGTGGAGACCAATTTAAAGACTAATACAAACATTTTTTATTCAAATAAGGGGTTCGATTCAGAGGCCAGGGGCCAGGGTGGTCAGTATCAAGAGTGTCAAGTAAGATACCTCCCAGATCTCGTTTTTGTTTTGAAGGTTTCCTAAATAAATCGATTAGTCTTCATAGGGCAGGCTGAACCCCAGTATTACACCAAGCACTAAAGCTAATACAAAATATAAACAAATAATTTCAAATTTGAATAATGTGAAGTTATGTCCCAAGCCCTCACGTCAATAGTTCGTCGATTTGAACAAAAATATCCAGCAGTTCTGAGGTATCTTCTGCTGCTTTGCTTTAGCCAAGTAGGATTGACCACATCTGCAAGATGGCTGCCATATTTCCTGCATCCAAGCAGTCAATACAAAGTATATTCTTTTATCATGTATGTGAGTTGAGCAGTTAAAACCTCTCCTCAGCCTACATTTCCCAGAATGCTGTGTGGTTCTGGATCAGAGTTCAGAGAATATTCTTTAATACAGTGGTCCCCGACCCTGGTCCTCAGGAACCGCTGTCCTGCATGTTTTTGGTAAGTCTGGACTCCAACACAACTGATTCGTATGATTGCATTACCTTCTTTGGATTCCTGCAATTGCTGCCGAAGTCGGTGAATCACCTGTTCATTTAACCCCGGTGTGCAGCAGCAGGACAGAATATTTTCTCAGATGCATTATTTACTGATTTTGATGAAGTGTCTATTGCTATATATATCGTTAGCCCAAAATTATGGTCAACATAATCATGGTAAAAACTGCTGACTCACTGATTATAAGCCAGAAAATAAATAAAGCTAATCAAGTTATTGTAAAATTGAGTGGAAAGAAAAAAATGGAGTAGAAACAAAGATAACAGCAGGCTTAAGAAGATCATGAATTACAGTCCATTCAAGAGTTTTGGACATATTCATGACACCACACTTATGTTCAGCCACTCCTGAAACAGAAATGACGTCATCTAACATCAGATGAAAGTAATGTTTGCATTTCGACAGTTTTACTCAAGTAGCCGTCCAAGATATTACTCAAGTTAAAGTACTGAGAAACTGACATGAAAATCAGTCATTTAATATTTAAAAATTACATCATCAGACTGAACAAAAACATGTTTTTCATTCAGAGAGTAGACAGAAATATTTAGTAATAAAATGACTGAAGTAAATAAAAAATTGTAAGAATCGAAAATTACAAGTTTTGATTTTTGTGAAATAGAAAACGGTCACGACTCAAATGGGAAATGTGGATTTATTTGTCTCATCATTCACATAGATACAGACGTCTCAACATGAAAACATCCAAATTAAACTGATAAAAGAAAAAAAACAAAAAAACAATAGAAACTACATGGGATTTCACTCATAATGGGAGGGACGCTCTCTCCCATCCATAAAATAACATCTGATGAATTTTTATGCCAGGGGATAGGCAGCTTAATACTGCTGTGCTGTTTTGAAGATAAAAATGTATGACATATTTATAAAAAAAGAAAAGCTAAAATAAAGTATATACACTATGACAACTCTTCACTCATCATCTTCCTCCTTCACCTTCTTTTTTTTCTTCTTTTTCTTCTTTTCTGTTGGCTGAAAAGCAAAGACGAGAGCGGTTAAAATGAATGAATTAAAATTAATTAATCAAAACTAAACATTTTCATATAATATGTGAAGTTTACCTCACTGACTGGCATTTCCTCCTCTTCTTCCTTTGCCTCCTCAGGTTCCTCCTCCTCCGCCTTCTTTTCCTTCTTCTTCTTCTTTTTCTTAGGAGACTCCGCTGCCGTTTCGTCCTCTTGCTCTAGAAAACAAGACGGGAACGTTTTTGAGCATTGTGGATTCTTGAACGTATCTGGAAGAGTTTTATTTTCCTTTGAAATTCACACACCTTCTGCTACCGGTTCCTTTTTGGGCTTTTTGGACTTGGCCACCGGAGTCTCAGCGTCCTGTTCACTCGTCTCCCCCTCGACCTCCTCGAACTTCCTCTTTTTTGAGGTGGACGGAATCGTCGAGTCGCCGGACGGGTCGTAGATTCTCACCTCACTGAGTTGGAAGAAACGAAGGGATGTTTAATAATTCCACTTACGAAGAAAAAGACTCCTAAAAACAGGAACGTGTTGCTCCTCACCTCTTGTGCTGGTATTTGTCTGCCTTCGCCATCGCTTTGCCTGTTCCGCTGATTCTTCGGATCTGAGGTGGGAAAGAAATCGGGAGTTAACGGCAAACAGAGGACACACTAAAAAAAAGCAGGTCAGAATCGATTTTCGGACTCTTACTCCTCTCTCCTCCAGCTGCCGTAGTCTGGCTTCCAGCTTGGCCCGGTTCTCTACTCCCATTTCTGCGTTCGTGTCCTCGCCTAGGGCGTCGTATCGGATAGCCAGCGCAGTTTTAGCCGCCAGCATTCGGGAAATCTAGACATAATATAACAGGAGACTGTTTGTTTTATTTATTCTCATTTTCAAAACATTTCTCTCTCTATTTTTTTTTTTTTTACTTTGTACCGGGTGTCAATTCTTTGCAGTGCTTCTCAAAATGCCGTATTTTCAACAATTAGCGCAAATTATCACGCTCATTTTGATAATCATTATTATTTGATAATGATTGCTTATAGACAGGTTTCCTGAACTCACCTTTCCTTTGTTCTTAGCAGTAGTCTGACCCACCAAAGAGGCGTGATAGATGAGCCCGTACTTGGGAGTGTCTTTGCGGGTCTTCAGCGCTCTGAACAGAGCCTTCTCGGCTCCGAGGATCTGCACCGTGGAGGCCGGGTGCTTCGCCAGGTTCAGAAGGGAACCTCAATGCAAAGAAGAACAGAAATTAGAGGACGGAGAACATGTTTCTGGTCAGAATCTGTTCGGAGGGACTCCTGACGACAGCTCAGATGAGGTAGTGACTTAAAAGCATCACATACATTCAGCAAAACGACATGCTGTCATTATCATCACTGCTGTCGCTTCAAATGCACGGTTGCGTTGCTCATGTCACGTTTTCCCAGACTAGTATTTTCTGCTCCGTTTTTACTGAATAAATTTATTATCATTGCACAAGTTGATATAACAAAAAAAAAATAAAAAGTTTGGAGAATGGTATGCCATGTTTTTTATTAATTAATGAAGAAACTAGAATTGCAACTTTCTTTTTTACACTGGCAAAATATTTGTGAAGTTTTGCACACACTTGTTGTGGTAAGTGACAGAGAACTAATTGTACTTCTTTTTTCTTCTACGCTTACCAGCGTGGGAGACAAGGCGCGCGCCGACCAGCTCGCCCACCATCACCGTCAGATTTGGGGCGATAGCCATCATCCTGTTCTTCAGGTAGTCATAGAGCTGAGCGCGGTACTCTGAGATCTCGATGACCTGAGGGGAAACAACAGATCCGTGTCACAGAAACGCCCGCATGCGGCCCGGCCGCAGGCCTTGGCGCTGACCCGCGGCTGTTCAGAGGAGGTAGTGACAGACCCACACCGAACGTTTCAGGATGAAGACGACTGTCGGTGTCATCGCCACAGCCGCTCTCGACCGCGCGAGCGCTTTTACGAGCGACCCGTACCTGATCGCACAGGTGCCGGATGTTGCCGATGTCCTGCTCTGACACTTCTGTTCCCATGGAGATCTCAGCGGCGAGCTTGACCTCGGCTTCGATCTCCTCTGGGAGGATCTCCGACAGATCAGTGGTGGCCACGTTGGTGCGGTCACCTGCAAAAACAAAGAGTTAAAAAAAAAAAGAAAAGAAATCAATATTTCCTATTAGAAAAGCAATCTATCTCCTATTTTTTCCCCCCAGTCCGAATGAAGCTCACCGACTTTGCGGACGGTTTTGCAGTAGGCCAGGTTGTCCGTGACGACCTTCCCCAGCTCAGGGAAGTGCCAGCCGTACCACTCCCTGCAGCGCATGTTGTAGTTGTTCAGCTCCTTGTCCAGGTCATCCAGAAGAGCTGGCGACAAAGACAAAATAAATAAAAACAACTCGCGTCACTTACACACACATAACAATTCTTGATAAACAGCTACATGTAGTTCTGGGATCCAGGTTGACAAGCTTTGCACATACAGAATATTGCGACAGGCTTATTTTTATTCTTCCATTTTACTATTATGCACTACTTGGTTCATCACAAAGTCTCAGTGAAATATGAAATATTTTATATATATATATTTATATATAAATAATCACACACTTACAGATGGCCTGCACAATCATTGTGTCCACTTTGTCCGGGCTGAACTTGAGCTTGTAACGGGACAAACTGCAAACAGATGGGGGAAAAAAACAATAAAATCTATTTAATTCACATCCACTGTTTTCTGTCGAGATTTAAAAGAAAAAGAACCAAAGCGCCTCAGTGGTAGTGACGAATGCTGAGGAAAATCCACACGGATATTTTCAGACAGCAAAATGTAATCACTGGCAGCAGCCGCTTCCCCAACTCCCTCAACTCTCCCCTGCTCGCTACCGACCTGTGAGCCAGGCCCAGCGACATGGCGCTCATCTCCCTGGGAGGAAGTCCGGAGATGAGGGCCTCCATCTGGCTGCGGATGCACCTCATGAGCTCGGCCACGGCGGGGCTGTGGACGCAGCTCAGGTCCAGCTTTTCCTGAGGAACATGCGCCCGTCAGACACGACCAATCTCGACTCCCGGTGAAACCGCTTCTGTTACAAATAGCTGCGTACTCACTTTAATGACTCCGCCCAGTTTCGCATCGCTAATGGCGAGCTGTTCGTGAGCTTCTTTGGCAACAACTTTCTTCAGAACCTTCTTCAGACTCTTGCCGAGTTTTCCCTCAACAAGGGCGGTGGCAGCTTAGCAGCAAAGGTGAGAAGAACAGTTACTACACGCACGGGCAAAAGAAGCAAAAGTAAAACATTTTCACGTGACACAAAAAAGTAGTCACTCCTAACTTTAATTAGATAAAAATTCTGAAACGTACAATTTTATGAAAATCTGAGCCATCGCTAATGTGGATGTTATGGTCTCAGTGGTAGTGACGATTTTGTGGGATACCTCATGTTTCCATCAGCCACAGACATACATCACAGACCACACTGCATGTTAAAAAGCACAACTGAGAACACGGCAGTACCTGCTAAGGCCTCTGTTGTGTCCTGGAACTTCTCAAAGTGCTTCAGTTTCAGTCTGGACGAAGAAAAAGACAAAAAAACAAAACAAAAACAACTTTGTTTTGTTAAATTGGCAACCATCTGAGTGGTTTAAATGGGATTACAGGGATGTATGAACTTTACATTTTGTTGGCTTTCTCAGGGGTTTCAAACTCCTTGTACAGACTGTCCACCTCCTGCAGCTTGGATTCATCGAGGACCTGAAAGACACATGGTAACCAGACACATCAGATCTACTAACTAAGTTATAAAATATGTACGACTCACACTTCATATGAATTTTTTAATGCAGCTTAAAAAAATGACAGGAAACCTTTTATAAGAGCTCAATAGCTTGTGACCTAAGACTCCTGATTCATAAAGCAATGCTCAAAAGAGCAACAGACAGTTATTGGCACTGTAGTTTTATCACAACAAAAAGCATATTGCTTCATCCTGGTCGATCAAGTTTGAAAATTGTCCCCACATGTTGAGCCATTGAAGTAAACAGGCAGGCGAGGCTCCATGTCAACACGTGGTTACAGGCCCAATGCTAGCTCTGTGTTAGCATGCTACTTAGCCAAACATTATAACGTAACGTTTAATTACAAATAAACGTGACGTTAACAAGACCAGAAAAGTACTACTTTAACTGCATTTTGTCGCGTGTTGCTGCAAACTCTAAACTCTAATCAGTAACAGTTTCCGAGTTACGATGCTAGTCGGAGCTAACTTCGCATGCAAAAAGTGGCCACGTTTGAATTCTGCTTTTTAAGCAATCGCGAGAAAGAAAAAGTTCTACACTTACTTTAAAGATGGCGTAGCCAGCAGCGGTCTCGAATAGCACTAACATTTTATTGTTTTTTTTTTTATTTTAAATGAGTCCTGTATGTCTGTTAAGAGGCTCCCCGGTGAGGAGAGCGCTGGAGTTTAGCTTCTCCGCAGACGACTTCCTCCACACGCGGTGCAGAGAGAGGTCGGCAAAAGGAAACGGATGGGTTGCCAGATCCGCTTACATGGGTTGAAAATACCCGATTTAGAACATCACTTTCAGATCTATTTTAGAAGCGCTCTTTTGTATATATTATTAATCATTTTTTGTGTGTATACATATATAGGGAATCTAGTACCCGATATGTATACATAGGGTATATATACCTATAAATAAATAAAACATAAAAAAATAAAAAAATGTATATACTTATAAAAAAGTTACTTATACATAATATATGTATATATAATTATATATGTTTGTATATATATTATGAAAAACACTATAATTTAAGTTCTAACATACTCGAAATCTTCATTAATTAAATTAAACTATTTTTATGTATGTCCATAAATTGCTTCCCCAGAAGCTTCAATACAGTTTCGATTTCCGACATCTTTGAACGTAACACAAGGTGTTTCCTGTTTACACGGAAGTGACGAACTCCAGAACGAACATGTGGAGGTGAAACGCGGACGGAGAAGTTTTAGTAGAGTTTTGCTAAATATCACCGACGGCGTTGAAACAAAGAGCGACCGACCGAGAGAAATGGGTGACTCTCAGCGCTACCCGCCCCCGGACTTCAGCTGTCCTCCACCGAATTTCATACAGCCGCAGCAGACCCACTCCAGCAGCTTCCATCCCAGCATGTGGAGCTGGGGACAAGCGCCCCCCCAGGCCAGCTGGGGACACGGCGGCTACTATCACCGCCAAGCGGATGGACCTGCTCACTATGGAGCTCAACCACAATTCAGTGAGTGTATCTCACAGTTTGCATTTCAGCTGTGTTCTGGCAGGCCTGTCAATAACAGCACGTTTGCCTCTTTAACTTGTAAACATTTTAGTTGTCTAATCGTGGATCTCTTCTCAGATCAGCATTTTGGCGGTGAGTGGTATCAAGCTGGACATCCCGGTGGCAGACAGAACTACAGACCTCCCTATCAACAAGGCAAAAAGGTGATTCGTTTACTTTCAAAAAGAGAAATCTGTGCTAGCTTTAGTGAACTTCAAAAAAATCTGTATATTTAACACTTGAACTTTGTCACATTTGGTCTTATTTAAACCCAAACACTGATTTTATGTCATACTTAAATGTAGATAAAAGGATACAAGGTTTTCCAAATGTTTTCAGACCTTCTGACTTTGTCATCCAGGGCCTGATTTACAAGGGTTTGGTGCCCTACGCGCTAAAGAAAAAAATTTGCTGATTCACATTTCCTGATCTGTTTGTCCTTCCACTTTATAAATATCCACAAATCTCTTGTTCCATCACATAAAATAAAAAGTTTGAGGTAGTAACGTCAAAAAAATCAGCAAAACGTCTAAAGCGTACGACTACTTTTGCAAGCGTTTTGATTTGGATCTCGGATTGAATTCGCAGCAAAGAAACAGGAAGGAGCCGGAGTATTCCCATTTCTGCGACACCTGTGACCGGGGCTTTAAGAACCGGCAAAAATACGACGAGCACGTTTTCCAGCATGTCAAGGTATTTATCTGCCACTGGTTGCTTTTTCTGGATGATATCTGAATCATAACCCATCGTTGTATGAAATATCATCAACAGTGTTCTGTACCTGACTGCAACTTCATGGCTCATGAAAAGCTGGTCGCCATTCACTGGAAGAACGTACGTAGGCTAAATCCCTGAGTATCACTTAAAGTTTTCTTCTTTCTAACGTGTACTGTGTTCTAAAAATAGAGTCACGCACCAGGGGCCAAAAGAATCAAGCTGGATACTCCGGAAGAGATTGCTAAATGGAGAGAGGAGAGGCGCAAGTCGGTTCGCACTCGATTTGAGATGTTTTGCCGCCTTCGATTCCTGTTTTCTGACTGGATTCCAACTTATTTTACGTGCAGAAACTACCCGACGGTTGAGAATATCGAGAGGAAGAGAAGAGTCATGGAGGTGCGGGAGCAGACCGGAGGCGTTCTTGAAACGACTCAGTTTGGGTGAGCACGAGCATCGTCTCCATTATTATCTGTTGGGAACCGCAAATCGTCTTTTCGTGGAAAATTTGAGACTAATTAAAAACTTTCTTGAGGTACTTTTGCGTCAAGTAGTAAAAAAAAAGGATGATTTTCATGTTTGGCTCGGTTACGAGAGGTATTTTTTTAAAGATGATCAAAACTGACTTGGAAACTTAACCAAGGATCTCAGTAAATTGGATTATTTTCTTTAGGAATCACCAAGTAATAGTCCCTTTATTTTTCTACTTATTTTAACTAAGGCGCTTTAGATCTGTAAAAATATACATATATATTTTTCTATTTGTCCTCAGGCGCATGAGAGGCAGTGGAAGAGGCAGAGGGAGGGGCAGAGGCAGAGGATGGGGTTGGGGTAACAGAGGGCCCCTCCCTTCAAACGGCACTGCTGCAGAGACCCCCAGACCATTCAACCATCTTTCCAAGGTGGGAGATCCACTGGGAGTTCTGGCCAATACTGACCAAGGTTAGTAAATAAGGAAGCTAAAGGTTTGATGGTGAATTTTTAGAATTAAAGCCACAAATGACAGCGTCAGCGACAGACGTTAGCTCTGTTTCTGGTCTCCTCCCAGATTCAGATAAAGAGGAGACCGGCACGGCTGGCCTGGTTGTGGCTCCGAAACAGATGAGCTCAGCCCTCGGGTCATTACTGGCCAACTACGGTTCGATGAGTGAAAGCGACGAGGAACCCGAAGGTGCGCTTGTCACTTTCTTCCAGACAAACAGTAGACGATGACTTTTCTGTGTTTAACCAGATCTTCTCTTTCGTAGATGTCCCCATTCTGAGAGCCAAAGAAGTTGTCCAAGAAAACGAGGCCCTCCTAAACAAAATGACACCAACTTCCGACTACAGTCGGTGCTCTGAACAAGTAGAAAACCCCGGCGAGACTCGGACAGTTCCTCAACCAGCCTCTGGCCCCGGCATGTGGAATGAGAGAAGAGGAAGAGGAGGAGGGAGGAGAGGAAGAAGGGGACAAAGACGCAGAGACATGCCTCAATCATGCCGCGCAACTCTACTGGAAATGGTATTTTCATATGAAATAAAACGAGCATAAATTTAAACGTAACTTTTGCTAATGGCACTGAAAGGGCCAATGACTAGTGTATGATATCACTTCTTACTATTTTTTTTACCCCCCTCTGTGTAGTTGCTGGCCCCAGACATTCGCCACGAGAGGAACGTTCTGCTGCAGTGTGTACGATATGTCGTCCGCAACCACTTTTTCGGGCTGGAAGACGGATCTCAGGACCGAGACGAGATAAAACAGGAAAACCCGACAGTTCCTGCAACCAGTGAGCTCGAAGAAAGGCCTGCGTCCCGATCAGACTCTAATGTTAACGATGAGAGACGTTTTGAAACTACAATTGTCCCGGACAGCAGAGATATCGAAGGTTTAGGCAGTGAATCTGCTGAAAGAACTGAAGAAAGTTCTGGAGAGTCTGTCCAAAGTATTGAAGAAAAGACTGACACGCCCCACAACGGTCAAGATCCCACCAGCACAAATAATATCACATCTCAATCTAATGTCTATGATGATGAAATATGGGAAATGGATGCCTGTTCTTTGAAAGAATTTTTTTAAGACATTAGGTTTACGTATATAATTCTTTTTCTTGGAAAGAGAATCATTTTGTTCCTTTTTATTGTAGGTGGGCCTATGAATTTTGTTGTAGAACAAATACGTTTACTTACAAAATTGTGTGAAACTGTGAATTTTCATAAAGTATACACAGTGTGCAAAGTCTGTTGTGATTCTCCATCTGTATAAATGCATCTGTATTTAATGTGTATGAATGGCTTTGACCCTTTATGTTATGGAAAAAACATAGAGAAATAATTATCATCTTTAGTAATATGACAATAAAGACTATAATGATTGGGAGCTGATGTACTAAATTAAGGTAGCTCGCACAGTCTTCCTTGAAAGATATAAGCAGTGTTTGACCATAGAGTAATGCAGTGGCGGAGGCTGCACCGCCCTCCTGTGGTGGCCAAGGGGAATAAAACAAGCGTTCTCCGTATCCTAGACACGGAGCTCTGGGTAGCAACGGTGAAGTTGACTAACGGCGCGTGGGTCAACAAGCTGAGCTAAGTGCGCCATTGTCCCGCGGCTAGAAAAGCAAACGCTTTCTTCGGTGACTTTAGCTGCATTGTAATTGCAGGGGCGTTCATCATGGAGGAAAAGGGTATTCGAGTGGAGCCCCCGTTTGTGGAATTCAAGGACATGAAAGTTGGGGAAGTTTACAAGAAGACAGTGTCGATAACAAATGTTGGGAAAGTGTCCCGGAAGGTGACTGTTGAAAAGCCATCGCTGAAGGTAACGTGTTCACAGGTGTTTGGGACTGAAACGTCGTTACGAATTTATAAATGTTGAGCATTTACCAAATGTGCATATTTGTTACTAGCTAACCAGCCAATTTACAGCTAATTAGCGGAGTTCGCTACCTTCGAAGCTCCTCGAAGCGTTTGACGCTTCAGACGTTTCTACGTCACAAATTGTAATTACAGTTATTGGCTTGAGGTATCAAACATGAGTGGCGTAAATGCAAAAAGGTTAGTTTTAAAGTACGCATTTGAACATTTTTTTATTTTATTGACTGGGTTCCATTGTTATTTTTTGCACATTTACATAACTTGCTGTTAAAATAAATAATAAAAATATGAATTGTTTTTCTATTATATTAATTACTACATTTTAGCTTGCAATACACAGCATGCCATACTATGCTGTGTATGGCATTGTATACAACAGACATTGTGTGCCATATAAAATGCCACATTGTATGCAATTGTGTACAATGTATATGGCATTGTATACAACGCTATATACAGTGTTTAGGTCTGTTAGTGTGGCACCACTTTCAACTCATCTGCACATGATGACATCTTTGTCCTTTTGACTTCTCTTTCCCTGTAGATCTTTAAATTAACCAGATTATGTCAGCCTTGGTTTTTGCCATCGGGGTTTTGTATTAGAGGCACGCTGGAGTTCACTCCAGATTTTGACTTCGAGGAAATCAAAGACTCCTTTCATATATTTATAGACGACAAGGAGATCTTCGAAGTTCCAATAACAGGGTACGGAGTTCTCTTCGTCTGATATATTCATAAGCTGTTTTCAGCCGCACTTGTCAGTTGTGCCTGCGGTGCCTCTAATGCGGCGTCTCTGGCTGCAGACTTCCCAGGTATCCCTCTTTGACCATGGACTCATTGGTAGACTTTGGATGCCTTCTCGCCTCCAATAAAGTGATCAGGAAACTTCATCCAATTACCAACAAAGGATCAGCACCTGGTATGTGATGTGTTTGTTATTTGACAGGTGATAAAATATGACACTATGATAGTCATCCATGCTGAACACCTTTGTGTGTTTGTGTGTGTGTGTGTGTTCCTGCTGAAGGTCGATTTTACGTGAAGTATGAGAAGAGTGAATGGTTCTCCCTCAATTTCCTCCCGCGACACGGAATCGTGCAAAGTGGCACCACCGTGTGGCTGACAGTAGAACTGTATGCAGACATACCTGGGCGTATTGCTGAAGAAGCTCTGTATGTGTTTAAAACCTCTAACTGTCATTACTATGAATATCTATCATGTTTTACAGGAATCACAAACTATTTAGAAGGTCATTTATTAAAAAAATAAAATTAACACTCTATTAGACATCCGTTAAACAGATGTCATCAAACTGGATAATGACATCTGTGTTCTTGGCATATTTCTTCCTGAGGGTGAAGCTTCCTGATTGCTCAGTTCTTCTTAGTGTCAAGGCTGAAATAGTGGAGCAGCATCTTGAGGTTTCTGACATGCAGGTACATTGATTCCAATTCAGATGGAATGATGTTGTTACATGACGTGGTATGGTGATTATTTACACAGGAAAAAAAAATTCTTTTCTAAGACACTGTAAATCTTAAAGTTATTATTACTATTTATATTTCTGTTTTAATTGCTTGAACATGTTGTAGGGCTCCCCCATTTCCTGTTTGTGGTTTGGCCCTGTCTACTTTGGGGCCTCCAGCGAGCAGAAAGTGGTGCTAAAAAATAATGCTCCCATTTCTTGTGACTGGATCTGCCTGCTGATGGATAAAGCTGCTGGTGTTGAGGCAGTGAGTTTGAAAACAGCATCTTAAGTTTCCAAAGGGACTGAGGGAGCGCAGAAGTCTTATTCAGCAAACTGTGTTTGCAGGGAGCAGACCTTCAGGCGAGCACAGTCACCACCCTGCTGGAGAGGATGAAGAACTGCGGATCACCCATGCGTTCTGCTTTCTGGGTCTTGGAGTGTATGCCTTCACAAGGTCGACTGCAGCCAAATCAGACAATCACAGTGGTAGTACGATTCAGTCCCAAATCCAGGAGGTATGTTTGTCCTAAAATACTACAAAACCTTGTTGGAAATTCATGTAAAATAAATATTTTTGTGTTAACTCATGTAGTATTAGTTTTAGTTCATAGTACTAGTAGATTTATAATATTAATTCAAGGCAATGCACGTATGTTGATCAGTATTGAACTACCTTGAAAATATCAAAGATGTATGAAAGAACAACAATGGAAAACTGAAGAAAAGTGTTACTCCCCGTCGGGGAATCGAACCCCGGTCTCCCGCGTGACAGGCGGGGATACTCACCACTATACTAACGAGGAGCTTGTGGTAGCACATACTTCAACGCTGTATTTCACGGTGCTTCTGCGCTCTGCTTGACAGGAGGTGGCGTAGCACTTCACCTAGGCGACAGGACTACTGTCTGTTTCTCCTGTTTGATATTGTGAGCTGCAAACATGGCTTCACTCAACCTACAGGTACACGGTGCTCAAATTGTTATCTCATTGGGGACTGGACTAAAAAAGGCTTTTATGCGGCATGAATCTATATGCCAAGTTACAATGCTAATATTAATGGCTTTCACTATCATGTTGATACTGCCAAGTTGTTTTCAAATCTGTGAGAGGTTTCAATATACGGTCTTAACGTCTGAACAGAGCATGGCTCCCTCTACAGACTGAATGTTAAAATGCATTCCTAATATGTTCTAATAAATATAGAGGATCTAAGCAGACCTTCACAGAATAAACAGAGACTGATTGCCTTAATGAAGCTTATTGTTTTTATTTAGTTGACAGCAGCGTAGAGGTGGCAGTAACCGGTTCTGGAATCCCCGTGGCCCTGGTGCCCTCTCCCTCTGACACGTTTGATTTCTCCCACTGTGCACTGGGCCAACGTTCAGATCTTCTGTGCGTGCTCCAGAACCTCTGCCCTCAACTTCCTGTCAGATTCCGCTTTCGCAAGTTGGCACACTTTACTGCCCAACCGCCAGCGGGAACTATTCCCCCTGGGCAGTGCCAGGTGAGACTGTCGGCAGCGTTGGGTGGTGCTGTATAAACCCCCACAGTTTTAACACAGGAGCTTCCCCCTTTTCCCCCATATTCTCCAGGATGTAGTTTTGACTTTTAATGCACGGCAGCAGGGAATCTTCCAGGTGCGTCAGAAGGTAGACATCCTAGGTTGGGTTGCGTCTCAGGAAAATGGCTGCTCCACAGAAGTCAGGTGCTTCCACACAATATTGCTACATCTATCTGCAATATGTGACAGTATGAAGAAACCCCCACAACCAAAACTGCATTCTGGTGAGTATTACAGACTAATGACGATCGTGTTCCAGAAACAGAAATGATCTCTTGTTTTGCTGCAGCTCTGAAGTGTCCCGCCGGGTTACGGCCTTGCGTCCGGTTGAAAGAGCTGGATCCCTGCAGCACTTTGGCCCGTATTGCCACCGCAAAGCTACACAAGCATCGCAGGGAGATGAGCCCAATCACAGATATAGACGAGTTCCTGGCTTTCCCCAACGATCGCCCCACGAGCGTCAGACCAGCATCACCACACTCGCAGTATAGGTAGACATTAATGAGCCACACTTCTGGAAACTATGTCAAACCTTTCATAAACTGTGATTTCTGGAACTTTGAGTTTGGAAAGATAGTACCTTTTTAAAAGAAACTCTTCCAGCAAGGGAGAAAAGTACATCTTAGACGTCTTGGTGTGTGTGTTTTCTGTGTTTTACCAAAGTTTTCCGATGTTTTTTTTTGTTTTGACATTGTTTAGGACCATTTTTACCGGAGTGCGACGCCACCACTACATTGACCCCGCCTATGCTTTCACTAGGGAAGATTATGAGCTGAGACAGCGCAACCGGCAGACTTACATAAACTTTATCAGACAAAGATGGCATGAGAAGACCGGGGAGAGGTTTGCTTTGCAAACTCCACATTTTAAATTTGTAGAGAACTTTTTTTTTCTTAGTTTCCACTGTAGAGCCACACAATTCAACTTGATTTTGTGAATTGCTTTTAGGCAGCCACAGACTGGGAATGACAGCATTCTTCAGGTCGATACACATAATGGACTTGTTCCTCCTGATTTCAACATCAGAGACCTGAACAGCTCCAAGAGCTCAGACATGAGTTCAAGACTCTCAATTGAAATCACAAGCAACGGGGACAGTCAGGTTAGATCAAAAGTGACTCAGCGATATCAGAGTCACTTTTAGTTCAGTTACATCATTATTTTTTTTGTGTTTTGTTTACATTATTTTTCTCATGAATTCGCAGATTTTCGACACAGTGAATACAGTTCCATCCACCTGGGAGCAGGTGGAAGAATGTCAGCGGACTCTGACGCCTTTGGAGCTCTACCAAGTCGACATAAGTAGGACTTTGCTTTTGCAACCCATCGACAGAGCAAAAATGCAAAAGAAATGTGTCTAAACAATGTTAATAAAACCCTCCTCTTTCCAAACAGCTCCCATGTGCGTGAACTTTGGCACAGTGGCTCTGCATTCAGCTTGCGCCACAAATGTGCATCTCGTCAATCGCCTGCCG